ACCTCACTCAACTTCATCAACTTTGAGGAGGCCTTCGACAGCGTCTATAGAGAGGTGATTTGGTAACTAGTTCGCTAATACGGGGTCCCATCGACAATTGTACATCTCATCCAACAGTTATAGGACAATACTGTATTCCAAGTAATCCACAGTGGGAAACTTACGGAATCCTTCGAAGTGAGGACGGGAGCGATATAAGGCTGCCTACTATCGCCAATGATCTTCCTGATTGCTGTAGATTGGATAATGCGACAGACAACGGGTAATGAGGAAACGGGAATAAAATGGACTCACGCAAAGCACTTACAGGATCTAGACTTCGCCGATGATGATATATGTCTGATTTCCCACAAACTGGAAGATATGCAAGTGAAAAGCGACAAGTTGGCACAAGAAGCATCAAAAATAGCATGGACTTCAGGTGAACATAGATATAAGAGAGGTGATGAAGATTCCTGGCCAACAGCAACAACAATAACAACAGATGACAGTCAGCATAAATGGGAGGAACCTGAAAGAAACAACCTCCTCCACCTACCTGGAGAGCATCGTTTCAACTACAGGAGGAACTGATGAGGATATCAAAGCCAAAATCGGAAAAGTGAGACAAGCTTTCATTACTCTCAAGTCTGTGTGGAGGTCAACAGCACTGCTCAGCATCAAAAATATGATCCGGATTTTCAACTTCAATGTGAAGTCAGTGCTACTATACGGATCAGAGACTTGGCGCGTCATAAAGAGCATCTCAAACAAACTGCAGACCTTCATTAACGGCTGTCTTCGCTCAGTACTCAAGATCAGATGGTTGGTCAGAAAAGATAAGCAACGGGGTCTTTGACGATGAGCGAACCAAAACCGCAAGAACCAATTGTGCAACAAATAGACAGGCGGAAATGGAGGTGGATTGGCTATTCGCTGAGGAAACCATCAAGTGACATCACACACCAGGCCATCACTCGAGTGAAACCTAAAAGGGAAGCGGCGAGTTGATTGTCAATGCAAGGGTGACTTGGAGGAGGTCATGTTAAGAGGAAACGAAAGCATGTTGGCAGACTTGGAGCGGAGTGAAAAAGTTGACAGAAAACCGAAGGCAATGGAGACGCGTGGCTGAAGCCCTATGTTCCTCTAGGAATTAAAGGATAAAATAATATAATAATGTGTTGTTCCGGAAAATCTGAATACACAGGATTATAGTTATAGAACAGTTAGATAAGATTCATTTTAGATATAAACAAATGTAATTTCGAAAAACTGTGCGCAATCGTGCAGCATTAAACAAATAAGTAGTAGTAAGTTATAATATGCTGTTCTGGAAGATATGAATACACAGGATTATAGTTACAGTTTCAGAGTCCAGTTCTGACTCCACAAGCTTACAAGGTATTGCTAGTCAGAGTGAAGGTATAAAACCTTTAGGGATTTGTGAGGAAGAACCCAAATCATCCACTGTTTTTATTAAAGAGTTTGAAAATAATGAAGTCGACCAGATAGACGACGGTAAAGTGAAAATTTGTGATGACGATCATGAAAGTGCACTTTGTCTTTGGTTGATCATGATGAAATGAGGTAAATGCCTACTAGTGCTGAGTTGAACAAAGGTTCTGTACAACTTGAACGTGAAGTAGAATTAAAGGTAGATACGGTTGCGGAAGGTATGGATACTTGTGAGACCGTCAGTGTAATTGATCAGCGTGTAGCTCACCTATCAATAGATCTTAAGGCTGGACTGGAGCTAATCATAAAAGACAGCAGTGGTGGTAATCCTACAGTTAGACAGACTTCTAAAAGTTTAAAAGCGACAGCTTTTGATGCACCGCTGAGTTCATCAACTTGTATCACTTAGCTGTCGTTGGTGTTGTCATCCACAATGACATAGACGTCCATGTACTCAAGTGTCTTGTCCAATGACTATGATCGTATCGATGGATTTGAAAAGGCGAAAGATATTGCTCAGTTTAGTGAGGATAAGCCAACTGTGTACGAGAGGGTAATTAATAAACTGGCTCGCATTAATAGGGGTTTTTGAAGTTTCAAGTTACCATATGAATGCTATTATCTTTGGTGTAAATTACTGTGTTTCTACGCTTGGTTGATCACATACGTCGTGTGCTTTTTAGTCATCTATATTCTACGATACAATGACATGGGCATGTTACTGTTCAGATTTGAGGATAGAGCTGATAGAGGGAAGTCAGCAAATGAAATCTGTGACGATTTTCCAACCTAGGGCGTCAACCTGAGAAGGAATGTAGGCGTACTGCTGTAAGTCCTACAATTCTTCAAAGGGTAGCGCATCAATGAGCAGTCCAATGTGCTTGGTTTGTGATTTTGTACATACGTTCATATTGTATATACTGGATTGATATCATCTGTCATCTAGCTGTTGGTAATTCTGTTTGTGTCCGGACGACTTCCACTTGGATCATCAACCTGAGAAGGAATGTAGGCGTACTGCTGTAGGTCCTACAGTTCTTCAAGGGTAGTTTGTCATGCCGGAATCCACAACATTTGATGTGTTGATTGTACATATGTATGTGTTAAATAGTTGTGTGAGTTCCAATTATCGCAATTGTTGGTTAATCTTGTTTGTGTCCGGACATTCCACAAATTACAATCGTCAACCTGAGAAGGAATGTAGGCGTACTGGTGTAAGTCCTGCAATTCTTCAAAGGAATTCCACCAAAACATGATCCGCGAGGTTATTTGTACTGTTTGTATATATGTGTGTGGTGTGTCATATCAATTGGTGGTTTTGGATTCATTGTGCTTACTTGTTGTTTTCGTATCTTGTTGTTATTGCATAATTTTGTTAAAATTTTCGTCGTGATTACTTCTGAAGTTGTTTCTTGTCTTCTACATCCGTGAATGAATTGATTGATGTTAGAGACAGCAGATGGGTCGTATACACCGGGGAAGCTTTTGCTGAGGATGAAACGCATACGGAGATAATTGTTAGCTGTGGTCCCACACACAGAGGAGCGAGAGTGTAGACGACTGATGCTCGCATGCCTTAACGTTACTAGAATTGAGGCAGAATGAGTGACAAGCGATTTCAGTGGTAATTGGTAGTGAGTAGATAAGAGGATGTGCGCAGAGTATCGTGAGGTGGTGCCATGGTCACGTTGCATTTTGCGAGAGTCATTCTAGCAAGTGGCAGTTGTGTTGCAAGATGTCAAGAGGATACCTTTAACCGGAGGCGCAGGTCGTCATTGATGTGCGAGATTGTGCTGTGTGTATGCTTGTGGTGTGTTGGCTTTTCTGTTTGTTTTCCATTTCAGCTTTGTCCGTGTGACCCAGGTTCTTGCAATGGCATCCAAGTCAACGTGGATTGGTCGTGATGGAAAAAGGGGATGGATTTGTTTTTGCCGGGGAGTGTCAATGTAGTTGAATATTGAACGATCAATTAGTGGTTGTTTGCTCAAACCCAACTTCCCTATATTTTCGCGGAGACATTGATACACCAGTCATCGTACCATCGGTCGCTGTTCAGAAAGAAGTCAGGCCAAAACTGTCAGGAGTAATATTGGGATTTATTATTGTAATATTTGATCATAAACCTTAGTTGTGAATCTTAGTTGAAACTTAATTTTACAGTTGCTTATATGTTGATGTTACAATAAAGAATTCTCGAGTAGCCAACCGGTGTTTTGGTTTTGCGTCCGTTATTACTAAGCGTTTCTGAGAAACTTCAAGGAACAGCGTGAGTCCCAGCGTAGCAAGAGCTGGGCATTGACGGTTTACGAGACGTGGCTGACAGGAGGAGATGTAAGTTCAGACCACTATCTAGTAGAAGGGACTTTCAAAGTGACACTGAAAGCCTCGAGGATAGCTGGCGATAGGCCACAATGCAAGTTCAACACTCAATTACTGAAGGACACAACCACAAAGGACAATTTCACTGCAACTGTCAGAGCAAAGCAGGAAGCACTACGTGACATCACTGAAGAATCATGCGTGGAAGAACATTGGAAGTCTCTGAAGGCGATTCTCAACGAAACGTGTTCAACGGTTCTAGGAAGAAAGAAGAGACAAGATAAGGAATGGCTCTCAATGGACACTTGGAAATTAATAGAAGAGAGGAGAATGGTGAAAGGGAAAATGATATAATGCGAGGACGGACAGGAGAAGGAGACGATGAGCTCAACTTACACAGCACTGGACGAAGAAGTGAAGAAGAGTGCTGGGGAGGAACGTTATCCTCACTGTAAATATCATTGTATTTGTCGGTGTTAACGTTTGAATACTCTCCCCTTAGTTCACCAGTACATTAGCAACGCAATACTAAATAGATTTGACCGTTTCATTTCATATCATTTAATGTAAACCAAAATCACACGGTCACTGATTGGTTGAAGGGTGTAAAATTTATAGATATAAGTAGTTGTTTGATCGCTTGGAAATAATACCTTGGTTTCTGTGTCTTGCCTTTTACTGTTACAACATGTCTCCCATTTGTTTCTACCACCCACTTTCTTCATTCCCTATCCACGTGCTTAGCACCGCTCGCTCTAAGAAATTTGTCAGCTTAACTGGAGAATTGTCGGGCGAAATGAAATTCGCAAGTCTTAGGGGCACCATGGCTCTCGTACGCATCACACATTCCCCCGAATATAAACTAAGGCACTGCTTCTTATTGCATCTGACTGGGCTGAAGTAGTCAAGGGCATAGACTGAAGTCAAATTATCCAGAGATCTAAGACCATTTGCAAGCCAACAACAAGGGATCTTAAGGTTTGTTCATACGGAATATTCTGGAAATGCTCAATACACCGTCAACATCTTGGAACAAATCACAAATATCCATCCTCCCAAAGCGTTCAGAGTAGTACTATTAGTGGAATACATGCAGCTGCCAATTATAGGGGATTATTTTTCAACGTGGAGAAGCAGGGAGGAAGAATGTACACATGTTCAACACTAACGTACTGTACGTCTCAATCTAAAGGTCGCTTCAAGGTCATTTGCCACCTAAGTTTTGACTTCTGTTCACGCTTTCCAGGATGGAGTGTAACGCGGATGCAACGATGGAGGTAGTGTCCTCGAAGTCTGCATTGAAAAAACTGGCGAAGGAAAAGAAGTTAGCTAAATTCGAGGCTAAGAAGGAAAAACTGACCTCAGACCCTTCTAAGGTATTTGTAAATTTGTGTTTTTATCTTTGTAGAAGTCGGAAAAGAAGAAAAAGGCTAAAAAAGAAGAGGTTGTTCAAAGTGCTGTAATAGACGCATCTGGCAAAAAAGGTTTGCACATTTTTCATACTAATATTGTTTAAAGACACTTCTGGTGAAATGCCTGAATCTTATTCGCCGAAGTATGTTGAAGCTATCTGGTACGACTGGTGGGACAGTAATGGATTTTTCAAACCAGAGTCTCAGGTAATGCGTTTAATTTTTCACATCGCTTATCTGACGAGCTTTTGCTTGCTGTGAGGTTTTTAAATACCTACTATTGTTGTTCTGTAAAGTGCATGCTTCCGTCAACGTTAACTATGTCCACCGAGTCCTTAGGTCGTTCAATAACCAGTTCTCCAGTTGTCCTGACTCATTTAGGCTTGAAAGTCATGCATTCCGAAGCATTTCAAATGACGCATCCTCACTCTATTTGTTTCTTGAGGGATACTTATTTCTGTAAGCTGGAGAGTTATACAGAAATTTACTCTAATACGTGGTTGTTGTCCTTTGTGAGTTTCGTTCTAGTTGGCAATAGTTGTTTTGTCGATCTGTTGGTCATTTTCCGAAACGTATAGGATGAATTGCTTAACACTTACTTTTTGCATGCCTTAAGCTTGTCCTGTGTTACATATTCACTGTGCTTTGAGTTTACAATAGTAAAACTTATACAGGTATATGTATGTTTGTATATATCTATATTTGCAGCATACAACAACTTTTTATTGGTCTGGCTGTAACTTCGAGTGACGTATTAGGAGTTAATTGCTATCTACGCATTCCCAAGCGTGCATAAAATACTTTTTAATTTTAGTTGACAAAGTCACCTGTAGTTTCTAAACAAAAAGATATACCGCTCTCATGAGTGACATTGAGTCATTACTAGTATAGTGTTTTGATTTTACCAAGGTTGCCCAACTTTCTACTAACCGACTCCATGTAGGTATAAAACTATTTGCTTATTGAACTTGGCATCAAAATATAGTCAAAGTCATATATATCATTCTTATCAGTTGACATTATGTGAGTTTTTCCGAATTTTCAGGCTAATTCTTCAGAGAAATTTGTCATGGTAATACCTCCACCAAATGTCACAGGCGTTTTACATTTAGGCCATGCGTTGACTAATAGTGTTGAAGACGCTATTGCACGGTGGCATCGAATGAATGGCAAAAAGACAGTATGGGTTCCTGGATGCGACCATGCTGGCATTGCTACACAGGTGAGTTCTTCCCACAAATGGGACCATAACTTATTTTTTTATTAGTAACGAATAAAAATGCTTGTTTCTTTCATTCATAAAATCCATACATACAGCTAATGCGATTACTGTTTTACATCTACTTACAAAGGCTTTTTTTTCTGCGTTCCAGGTACTCAGTAGCACTAAAAGCGTTGACAGTTTTTCCGGGATAAGTAATTAATCGAGTTTGTTAAAAAGCAAATGTTTCTGATTAATTACTTACAAGTACCTGAAATTGTCAATGGTGGTCAAGCTCATTGGATTGGGCACTCAACTTTAAACCAGTAGGACATAGGTTTAAGTCTTGCTACACCTAGTGAGGTTTGGACAGCATTTAGGTAGAAGTAACAGACTGCACGTTGCAACCCATCCCTCAGTGACATTTAAGCAGTTCACTGATGAATATACCATTTTTTGTGAAGTACAGCTTTGTGTTCTATAATAATAATTATTTTTTGATTCAAATCGTTTGGTAATGATTCAAATAACTGCATGTTCATCTTTAGGTTTGATTTCGTCAATAGATCGTTTGTATAACGTAGTGGTGAGATTTCATGATGATCGGCTTCTTTGTAACCTCCTGACTGACCGACTTAGTTGCATTCATAACACTGCTATTGCAAGGTATTTTCAAGTTATGTATTAACTACGAAGCTATGATACAGGAACGTTTCCAGTGGCTGTTATATGTACAAGCTATCAATTTTTGATGGAGTTTAAGAATGGTGTATAGTTACTGAAAAACCCAAGTCATAATGTAGTTTTAAGCTAAATAAGTACATGAAGTAATTCAAATTGTTTTTCACTATCCAGAAAGTGATTGTCTGGTTGCAGAGTTGATAGGAAGATTGCGGACCACGGTGTTACAATAAGCCAGGATGTGTCCAAGTTATGAGGTGATTTTTATCAAATGCACAAACAACTACTGTCTGTCTACTTAAAGATTTGATGTCATCTTAGTTCGCACATATCACTTTGATGTCTGCTGAGTACTATCATTGTAATAGTTTAGTTATCTGATGATGATGATGATGATATAGTCTCAAGCTAAGGCCATGGTATCCCGAACAAATCAATTGCTTGTTTTATCAGTTTACACTTTAAGTATGTTACAAGATCGCCCCTATATCGAACTTAGGGTTCTGTTTAATGACGAGCAGGGTAGATTTATACATCACGTGTGATATCGAAATCCTACTATTTATTTGTAGCATTATTCGTGAGTTAATTTTTATTAGCTTATAGGCTCCAACCGCAACTTTAAGAGAAAATTGTATAACTTGTTAACAGTTCTTCGTTCTTGTGTTAAGTTGATGTCATATTCGCCAGTAGACTTAATCGTTCCACGCTTGATCACATTTACGATCAGAAGTGTGTAAGTCTGTATGTCTGTCTGTTTTCGACATAGAACTTTGCACATATGTGCGGCAGTTCAAGTCGTCACACTCCATGTAGCACACAAAGCAACAGAAGAAAGTGGAAGAAATGCATAATAGAGACAGTAAACAGAAGTGTGAGACAAAGGAATAATAATAACGAAGAACGATATAGTTTGATTGGAAATCATAAGTCACAAGGAGTGAATGCATCTGCGCTCTCCATTGAGAACGATTTTGAGCCATACCACCAATTGTTTCCAACCATTGGTTTTTACCGTCCCGAGGACCCCAACCAGGACGTCTGCACCTTCGTGCGTGACTTAAACTAACTGTTGTGGATTTCATTGACTGATGAAGACATGTTTTGGTTTGATCTCCGCTAGCTTTTTTCCAGCCTGACCTTATGTCAGCTAACATTACCAATCGGTTGAGGAAGGCGATAACTAGGCATACGTAACTCATGTCCTAACCATTTCAGTCGATGTAAATTCACAGCCTCATCGATTGATTTCCCCTCCTTGACTTACCTAGCACTCGATCGATGCCTAACCTCAATATTGCTCACCTTATTATACCACTTCACATGGGAGATAGAACGCAGGCACCTATGATCAAAGATAACTAATCGTTTTATGTCTTCCACTCTCAATGGCCAGGTTTCATAGCCAGCCATAAAGGAGGACGGAGTGTACTCCAAAGATAATCCATATACAATCATACTATGCACGATAGGTGTATTCATGCCGTTGGCTGTAGATTATGGTATTTCGGGTTCCACTGATATTCTTGACTTTATCCTTTAACCTAACCGTAACCTTGACCCTAAACGTTAACAGAAAAAAAGTACCCAGTGAATAAGTAGGATACTGTATCTACTGTAACGAACAGATTTTCTCATAGCATGAACTGCATCCATAGTGACATTTATACCTGTTAGAGAACCACTGGAAAACCAACTGGGAGTACTGGGCATCTGTTTCGTCAGCCTAGTTTGGGACTCTTCATCAGCACGCACCCACCGGGGTACGAACCCAGGACCTTCTGGTTACAAGGCGAGCTCGTAGACCATTGAGTCACTGGGACTCGATCCAGTGGTCCTTGAATTCTAATTTCTGCCAATTCACGACACAGCGCGACCATTTCGCAATGTCTTCTTCAATGAGTTACTGCCTCATCTTCAACCTGCTGTACCTTACTGGTCACGGCTTTCCACTAAAACCCCAGGTTAACTGCCTGAATAGGACCAGGCACTAGTGAGCATCAGATTAACTTTCAAGTATTGGTTTTGTAGGGATTTTTTGTTTGATTACATGGGGGATTTAATCATGAACTGACATCAGTTGGAATGACCTTTCGTAGTCCTCCCTAAATCTGACTGCTTTTTGAAAGGGGAACTTTCGACAGACCTTGACTTTGGCTACAGTATTTTAACTTCGCCGTGAGTGTGTGTGTGATGCTGAATAGCTTTAAACTATGAAGCAACAACTGTCTAGCGTTACTTGGTCTTTATGGGTTCAGTGTTACCCATTATCCGCAAATCACGTCTGGTTCTTAACTTATTAAAGCAAGTTAATCTATAAGCTGAATAGTTATCTCTACACTGTCATGATTACTGTTTAAATTTCAGGTGGTTGTAGAGAAAAAGTTATGGAGAGAGAAACAGCTAACTCGACATGATATTGGACGTGAAGAATTTGTGAAACAGATATGGCAATGGAAAGAAGAGTATGTCTCTTTTCGCGTATGACTATATTGCGTTTTTATTAATCGGTTGTTTATCGTCAAATCTATGAATTGTTTTTATTAAAGACTCTGTGAACGCTTTAAACCTTGAAATTTTGTAAGTAAAAGTAGGTAATATTTTCGTCACAAACTGTAATCAACCAGATGACTATTGAAAAACACGGATCACTGGGCAACCGCCTCGTTCTACTTTAGGATTCTTCAGCAGGATAGATAGATATACCAGTCTACAAAAAGGTCAAGTATACGACAACCATCACTCATTAGGCAAAAAGATTAACACTCAGCTGTTGGGTAGGAAATTCAGTTATGCGTGCATAAGTTTGTACCTCAGTGATTAGGAAATATAGTGGTTTCTAACAGTTGCCTGATTGCATTATCATTACTATTATTACTATTGTTCCCTTGGGTTCCTAGTGGAACATAGGGCTTCAACTGTACGTCTCCACTTGCTTGTGTCTTCTCCTGTACTTTTCACCTGCATCCATCTTAGTCCATATATACTGTTTCAACTCCTCTTCACACGATCTCCTCCATGTCACCCTTGCACTGACTACCCACTCGCCACTTCTCTTTCGAGTTCCACTTGAGTGATGGCCTGATGCGCGCGATATCACCCAGCGGCGGCCTCCTCAGCGAGTGTCCAATCCATCTCCACTTTCTCCTGCATATTTGTTGGCTGGCGATTGGTTCTTGTTTTGTTTGTTCCTTCCCATAGTTTCTTGTCGATGATTCTTTCCAGCCCGGCCATCTGATCTTCAGTATAGAGCGATAGTTGACAGTTGTTGGTTGATAATGGTCTGCAACAGGCTATTGGAAATATTCTTTGTGACCCACACGCCAAGTTTCTGATCCGTACAGAACAGCTGACTGACTTTACGTTTGTATTGAAAATCCGACGGAATTTTGTTGTTGATGCTGGCTGAGCGACAAAGATTTCCAGATCAGATTGGTTTCAGGTTGATGAATGTGTTTCTCGCTTTCCCGATTCTCGCTCGATTTGACATCATCGTCCGTTCCGACTGCCTGTAGTTGAGACAATACTCCCTAGATAAGTGAGTGAATGAAGTAACCTCTTTCAATTTCCTCCCGTTGATGGTGATTGGCGCTGAGTGTTGGTACTGTTGTTGTTGTTGGTGGTGGTTGGTTATTTTCATAACCTCCGTCTTATTTATGTTCACCTGGAGTCCTGTCTTCCCCGGCTGCTTCTTCGACCAGTTTGTCGGTTGGTTTTCGCTTGTAAGTCTTCGATTTTGTGACAGTGACATCAAACATAAATCATGCCTGATTGCATGACCTTACTAAATCATCAGTAATTGTGTTTTATTGGTTATTTGTACTCCTAATTAAATTACTCCAAGGAGATTTTCCAATTGTTGCTACTCGATTTCGCGTTGAATATTAATTAAACCATTCTTCATTTCAATGAATTATTTCTTATACGGTTTTTACTTACTATTTTATTCGTTGGTGTTCCTAATGGAACATAAGGCTTTAAGCTTTGAACTTTCTGTAGTTTTAGTATTATGCTGTTATTATTACTGATATTATTATTATTGTTCCCTTGGATTCCAAGTGAACCATAGAGCTTCAACAACACATCTCTACTTTGTCCTATTCTCTGAAGTCCTTTCTAGCCGACCGTATGATTGCCCATTAGTGTCTCATCCCCTCTAATTGTCCCTCCTCCCCCCGCCCCCCATTTCACCCTCGGAATCATAACTAACTCATTGTTTCCCTTTTAGATTCTGCCCGAGGGCATTAGATGTCACTGAACGATTTCCTCAATGTATGTCCGATTCATCTTCATTTTCTTCTGCATATTTGTTAAGCAATAGGTTATTTGTTGGTTCGTCCTCTAGAGAGTTTCTTGTTGCGGTGGTATTACTCCCTCTTTACTGGGCCGACTAACGGCTAGGTGAGGTTTAGGAATGTGTTGGTTAGAGGTCGAGCTGTGGATCGTGTTCGTGATCGGTGGGCATCATTCTACCTCTGAACCACGGAGGCACGTGTTATGCGGCACATAATACATTCCACCACTACCATCACCGAACTTACGTGAAAGTCACCTCATAGACCTGGTCTACTGACCCTTTTATAACCTCGTTTCTAAATATATAATTGTTATACTATACTTTCTCGTTCAAAATTTATGATGACTTAACTTTGATGCATTTTATTTTTATTCTACTGAGAAAGATTTTGTTGAGTATTCATAATTCTTTGCTTAGACATCTGGATGGACTGACGAATTGCATATCCTGAAAAGAAGTGGTTAGTTCTAGGCTGAATTTGTTTTGTCATCTGATTTAGCCATTCGAGGAGTCAGAGACAAGTTTAGGTAAGACTGCTATTGCCGTATAAAAGAATGTTGTAATCACATGTGTGTGTGTGTGTGTCAAAAGTGAAGTACTTCAGTTATCTATCAGCTTATCACTTGATCCATGATGGAAATATTTATTTTCGTGAAATAGTTGCCAGTTTTGTAGAGCATTCATTATTCACCACCTACTGCCTTCCTAATTGTGTCTGTTGTAATCTGAAATTTGGCGGAACGCCTATCCCAAAGCTTCCCTTACTCTTTGTTTGTTGTTTTATAGGAAAGGTGATCGAATTTACCAACAACTCAGGGCACTCGGAAGTTCTTGTGATTGGTCCCGGGCTAGATTTACTATGGACCCATCAATGTGTAAGGCTGTCACGGAAGCATTTGTACGATTATTCGATGAAGGCCTTATCTACCGAAGCCTTAGATTGGTAAATTGGTCGTGTGCTTTACGTTCTGCTATATCAGATATTGAAGTAGATAAACGAGAACTTCCTGGACGTACACTGATACGTGTTCCAGGATATGATAAACCGGTGGTCTTTGGAGTGATAACATCCTTTGCTTATCCACTTTTGCCTGGTAAGTATTTTACAGACGTCTTCTTTGTAAGTTAACATAACGTTAAAACACTTCACACATCACACGTTTCTGGCTTTCATAGCTCGCTAATACATAAGTCCTTTTCTCTGTCTTCATGCGGTGGGGGTGTTACTCACAAAGGTGAAAGGGCGAGTGCAAACAGCTGAAGATGGACGTATAGAGATTTGCTTAGAGGAGCTGGAAAACCCTGATTCCAAACACATGTGGTATATGTAGACTCCGGAATTCGAAAGAATGAAATGGCGTATGGACCAATTTTGGTTACCACCAACCATTAGAACGCAGCTTCTAACGCTTCTAACGCAGCACCACAGCGTTGTAGATGAGACTTGAAGTCAAAGGCCAAGGAGAGGCCCTTAGGACAACCACCTGCTTCGGCTTGGATGTGTTCAGACAGTATCCCAGCCCTCGCACAAACAATGATATTTTGTGTGGTTCGGATTTGATGCCCATAAATGTACTAAGTTTGTGTTTTAATAAAAGTGTTAACAATAAAACGTCTCTGTTAGCTGAACAGCTGTTGGAGAATGTGGGAGCATAGCATATGGCGGTTGTTTCGTTCCCATTGCCTCACTCACCATCATTCCAACTGGCTGATCAATGGCTTGTATCCAGATAGGTTTCTCGAATTCGTAATGAAATGGTGATGTATGACGACAGGTGGTGGTTGCTTATCGGTGACATTGGGTAATCTGCATTATGTTGGGGATCTTGGGTTTTTGGATGTTAACACACTCTATGAAACCTTACGATGTTAGGTCAATCTTACATGCTTTCTCAAGGAGTGCCTGGCTAGTAGAAAACAACTGTCCGTCAGTTCTGATATTGAAAACTTCCCTGAAATCAACTCCTTTATTTTACAAAATTTATGGAAACAAAGGTGAAGGGGATGTCCTCTTCTGTCTGTCTGTTTTCGACATAGAACTTTTCACCCATATGCATCAGTTCAAGTCGCCACACTTCCCTCAGTACACAAAGCAAGAGAAGAAAGTGGAAGAAATGCATAATGGAGACAGTAAACAGAGGTGTGAGACAAAAAATACTAATAGCGGAGAACAATATAGTTTCATTAGAAATCATAAGTCAACTTTGTAGACTTTGAGAAAGCCTTCGACAGCGTTGACCGCGAAGTAATTTAAAAACTACTGGGGTACTACGGCGTACCCCGAATATTCATCAACCTTATTCAACGACTGTACGACAACGGCACATATCAAGTGATCCACAACGGAAAACTCAGCGAGGCATTTGGAGTAAACACAGGAGTCAGAAAAGGGTGGTTACCACCACCAATGAATGATATTCCCAATTGTGGTGGACTGGATTATGCGTCACACAGCGAGTGAGAAACGAGAAGACAGGGAGGGATATCCTGGACCGACGTGAAGAACCTAAAAAACCTGGATTTCGCGCCTGGATGATTTATATTTGATGTCACTGTCACAAAATCGAAGACTTACAAGCGAAAACCAACCGACAAACTGGTCGAAGAAGCAGCCGGGGAAGACAGGACTCCAGGTGAACATAAATAAGACGGAGGTTATGAAAATAACCAACCACCACCACCAACAACAACAGTACCAACACTCAGCGCCAATCACCATCAACGGGAGGAAATTGAAAGAGGTTACTTCATTCACTCACTTATCTAGGGAGTATTGTCTCAACTACAGGCAGTCGGAACGGACGATGATGTCAAATCGAGCGAGAATCGGGAAAGCGAGAAACACATTCATCAACCTGAAACCAATCTGATCTGGAAATCTTTGTCGCTCAGCCAGCATCAACAACAAAATTCCGTCGGATTTTCAATACAAACGTAAAGTCAGTCAGCTGTTCTGTACGGATCAGAAACTTGGCGTGTGGGTCACAAAGAATATTTCCAATAGCCTGTTGCAGACCATTATCAACCAACAACTGTCAACTATCGCTCTATACTGAAGATCAGATGGCCGGGCTGGAAAGAATCATCGACAAGAAACTATGGGAAGGAACAAACAAAACAAGAACCAATCGCCAGCCAACAAATATGCAGGAGAAAGTGGAGATGGATTGGACACTCGCTGAGGAGGCCGCCGCTGGGTGATATCGCGCGCATCAGGCCATCACTCAAGTGGAACTCGAAAGAGAAGTGGCGAGTGGGTAGTCAGTGCAAGGGTGACATGGAGGAGATCGTGTGAAGAGGAGTTGAAACAGTATATATGGACTAAGATGGATGCAGGTGAAAAGTACAGGAGAAGACACAAGCAAGTGGAGACGTACAGTTGAAGCCCTATGTTCCACTAGGAACCCAAGGGAGCAATAATGATAATAAGGAGTGGATGCATCCGCGCTCGCCATTGAGAACGATTTTGAGCCATATCACCAACTGTTTCCTACCATTGGTTTTTGCCATCCCGAGGACCCCAACCAATCAGGAAGTCTACACCTTCCTACGTACCTTAGTCTAACTGTTGTAGATTTCATTGAATGGTACCGCCATGTTTTGGTTTGACCTTCGCTAGGTCTTTTCCAGCCTGACCATATATCAGTCAGTGTTGCACATTGTCGAGGAAGGCGATATCTAGGCATACGTAGCACATACCCTAACCATCTCAGTCGATGTAACTTCACATCATCGTCGATTGGTTTCTCCTCCTTACGTAGCACTCAACGGATGCCTAACCTCAATATTGCTCGTCTTATAATACCACTTCACACGGGAGATAAAATGCAGGCACCTATGATCGAAGACAGCTAACCAGGCTTTTCATGTCTTTCACTCTCAATGGCCAGGTCTCACTGACAGCCTTAAAGGTGGACTGATTGGACTGCTCAACAGTATACCCGCCGTTTGGTTGACAGCCAGTGGGATATCACGTCTACGCCAGAGACGGTGTAAACTGGCATATGCGAAACTGACCCTCTGTATCCGTGCTGAGATTTCGTCAGCGATCAACACGTTGGAGTTGGCTGACTCATCTTCCCAAATAAGTAAAGTGGTCAACGTGCTCTACCACTTCACTTCTTATTTCTAATCTAGGAGTCCATGTAGTCCATTCCTGTAACATAATCTTACATTTGGCGCGAGCGAATCGCATGCCAAACATTCGTAGATTGCAGCTGAAGGAACTCAGAAGACTCCTCATTTGGTCAGCGTCGTTGCCTAGAAGGACTATATCGTCCGCATATTCTAAGTCAACGAGATTATTCCACTGATGGTAACAAATCAATCTGTGAGTCTCTGAAGTGAGTTATGGTTAAGTCCATCAGTACATCTATGATGAAATTGAATAGAAATGGGGATAATGGGCATCCCTGATGTTCTCTTCTACCAGCATAGGATACCTCCCGGTTTATGCAGTCTCTTTTTTCTAATGGACGATGTTAATTTTGTCTTTTCTTTTCTGTTGAGTCTTATTTTTCATAGATTGAAGTCAAGGAAATGTGTTGGTTTTGTGAGCAGCAACTATATAAATAAAAGGCTCTAATATTCTAGGAGGCGTTTCAGTAATATTCCTTTTTTGAATGATGAATTGGTTTCAAAATGTTAACTTGTCACACATAAGCATGCGTATCTTTTTTTCATCTTTTTTTTTTGCAAGATTCTAGCACAGGTGATTGCAAAGAAACTGAAATTGTTGTTGCAACTACCCGACTTGAAACAATGCTAGGCGATACAGGTGTAGCTGTCCATCCTGATGATACACGTTATAAGCATTTAATTGGTCGGTTTATTCAACATCCATTAATCCCAGAGAGAATAATTCCTATTGTCGCTGATTCATTTGTTGATCCAAATTTTGGAACTGGTGCTGTGAAACTGACACCTGCACATGATCATAATGATTGGGAAGCAGGTAAAAGGCATTCACTGCCGACTATAACTGTAATTGGCGAAGATGGGCTGATGACATCAGAGGCCGGTCCTAAATTCAAAGGTAAATGGATGCATTTGGTGCTGTATTATTGTTGTTTGATTTAACATTTTTGTCTTCTGTGGCGTGGATCATTAACACATGTATTGTGTAACGACAGAAGACAGGGTCCAGGCAGCAGATGCTTTGTTGACTGAATAAAAATGCCCATTAAAATTTTCCAAGGAGTGGATACTGAACAAAGAGTACTCTTTTCGATAACTTCATCATCAGGCTCTACAGTTATATATACATTATAGTGAATGAACGAATGAATTAGTGTTGTGAACAACATTAATGCTATTTAAATAGCATCGAATGAATAATATTGATAGATTACAGCTAAATAGCATCAAAATAACAATAAACTGAATGCTAGAAAAATTAGGAAAGATAATATTACAAATTCATGAATTTATAGTCTCTACTGAAAGCCAACTCAGTAGTAGTAGTAGTAGCTGAACTTGCTTCTTTTGCACACAGAGGACTGGTTGTTTGAGGTGAATTGCCTCTGCTGTTTGGAACATACGATGCTTCGATGGTTTTGGCAGTTTATTAGGCACTCGGTAGATGACAGAGAAGGATTCTCCCATACTGTCTTTTTGGCCGGTTTGAACCAGATGGTCCAATACTGAGCCAATATTTTCCATATTTTGGGCGCAGTGATGAATCATTTCTATTGTATATGTTGGGTGTAGACTCGATGAACAAGGATTCAGTAATCAACCTCTCTCCCTCTCCATTTACCTAGATTACTTTTTAGAATTTTTACCCTCTCCCACCCTTTTGTGTGGTTGTGTGTTAATGCATGCATTGCAATTGCTGAGCTTTTTTCTAAATTACTTATCTTTTCAGGGTCAACCATTCTCCGAGAAGATAAGTAATTTAGAAAAAAGCTCAGCAATTGCAACGCATGCATTAACACACAACCACACAAAAGGGTGGGAGAGGGTTAAAATTCTAAAAAGTAATCTAGGTAGGTGGAGAGAGAGGTTGATTACTGAATCTTTGTTCATCGAGTCTACACCCAACATATACAATAGAAATGATTCATCACTCATACCCGAAATATGGAAAATACTATTACCAATCGAATCAAGTGAAAAACAGTAGAACTATATAAATAAAGGTAGGAAGTTGTGTGATTACTTTGATATGATTATGAGCGATAATTTGTGCTCGAAACGCGGTCATCAGTAAACATTACTGTATAACACTGTGAGACTATATCAAAGCAAAATTTACCCATAATGGAACAATTTGAAGTGGCTAGTCTATGTACTTCATCTTTCAGTCGAGGAATAGCCATCGGTCGTGTGGAGAATAAGATCCTTTATTGAGAAAATCAAGAGATGTTTATAGATTTTTATGTAGATTATTGTTAGTGGAGGAGCAACGTTTTCTGATTGGTTGTTTTCTTGCTCAAGGTTATTCTGTACTGCCTGTGACGGTTTTTTAGGAAGTTAAGCCATATATCTACGAATCGTATTTGCACACCTTAAGTCTGCTACGATTGGTCTTTAAGTTTCTCAAGGTTAAGAGGCTTTGTTCTTGTGTTTTTTCCTCATGACTGACTCAGGACGTAAACATTGAGGTAAACTGTTGTCTACAATTCTGACTTACGGAGAGCTCTCATCACAGTATATGTCGATATCAGTGTAGATTTCGTTGCGAAACGTCATCAGCTATAGAATCACTGAAAGGTAGGGTGAGTGGGGGGTGGTGACACCGAACGGTTGTTTCATCCTAATTTAGGACTATTTCAGCAATGCGTACTTAGGACCACCTTACCAGAGGTCGAGTCCCGGGTCTTCATGTCTTCAAGAGATCAGTTCGTTGACTATTGTTGTAGCCCAAGTGGCCCATTGGTGGTTAGTGCTTGCATCCACCTTTGTGTAGTGTAGTTTTATCTTATTTCTGTCAGCTTATCTCGCGTACTTTTTCTAAGTGTGGAAACTTAGGCTGATATATATATATTCCTGTGCTAAGTTCTGTTAATTTGTCAGTTATTACTGAGTTAAGAAGCTGCCATATATATATATATATATATATATATATATATTCAAGTATTGGTTTTGTAGGGATTTTGTTTGATTGCATGGAGGATTTAATCATGAGCTGACATCAGTTAGAGAACCACTGGAAAACCTGGGAGTACTGCACAGCTGTTTCGTTCTAGTTTGGGACTCTTCATCAGTACACACCCACCGGGATTCGAACTCAGGACCTTCTGGTTACAAGGCGAGCTCGTAGACCATTGAGCCACTGGGACCCGATCCAATGGTCGTTGAATTCTAACTTCTATATATATATATATATTTGAATAAAGCAAGAGTACAGTTTTGCAACAAAATAATATGGTACCAACATTGTTTATTTCGTTGGCTTCTCATCAGATCAGCTGCTTACAGTCTAAATAAAATTATCATTAAGTTAATGTACAGAAAAGTTTTAACATACTTGCAAATTTTGCATGATTTCTATTGACAGAAAGTTTCAAACTTAGTCAAAAATGCTTAGAAAATTACGCTTTATATAGTGTTTTTTGCAGAGAGTTCAAATTTGAACAAAGTAAATGTATGTGTTAAGGGGTTAGGCAAAAAAGACGAGAGGTGAGTAAGATGATGAGTCACTGATAAATTGGGTAACAGTGTACTACTACTACTACTACAGTGTACTACTGTGCGTCGGTGGCACAGTGGTTAGGACTCTCGCCGACCATGCACATGGTCCGGGGTTCGAGCCCACACCGGCGCATACCTGATATCTATGGTCGGCCTGCAAAATTTGGGCTACCGATATCCATGCTGAAAATTCCATACTTGTACCAAAAATACAGTATGGAATCAAGCTGTAAATCAAAAATAAAAAAAAAATAAAATAAAAAAATTGAATTTTAGATTTTTCAGTCACCATCCACCAATTAATTAGTAATTATCAAGTATTGCTTTTGTAGGGATTTTGTGTTTGATTGCATGGAGGATTTAATCATGAGCTGACATCAGTTAGAGAACCACTAGAAAACCTGGGAGTACTGGACAGCTGTTTCGTCCTAGTTTGGGACTCTTCATCAGTGCGCACCCACCACCAGGGTTCGAACCCAGGACCTTCTGGTTACAAGGCGAGCTCATAGACCATTGAGCCACTGGGACCCGATCCAATGGTCGTTGAATTCTAACTTCTGCCAATTCACGACACAGCGCGACCATTTCGCAATGTCTTTTTCGATGAGTTATTGCCTCGTCTTCAACCTGTTGTACCCTACCGATCACGGCTTCCCATCGGAATCCTAGGTTAACTACTTGAATAGGGCCAATCAGTAGTGAGCATCAGATTAACATCACGCTTTGACGTTGGAAACTGGTCACTGGGTTCGAGCCTCGGTGGGGACAGTATCGCTCACTGTGGAATGCAGGTATGCCCGGATGACGAGTCCCAAATGGGACGAAACGCTCACCCTGGATTCCATTGCTAGTCATTATCATCCACCGATTAAATTCATTACTGAGTTCAACTCATATCTTAAAAACAGGAAACAAGCGAATTTACACTGTGTCGAAAGAGGGTGAGATTTGAGGCTCATGGTTATGTAATCAAACGAAAGAGAACAAAAATTACATAATTGATTACGCATGAATTTTACTTACTTTTGATGGCTTTATTATCATTGTTTTTTTCGTTTGTTATACACTATATTAGGACTGCCAAGATTCGCTGCTCGAGAAGCAGTGCGTAAAGCTCTGGATGAATTAGGTCTTTATAGAGGTGAGAAGGACAATCCTATGGTAGTGCCTATATGTTCGCGTAGCAAGGATATTGTTGAACCCTTGTTGAAACCTCAATGGTATCTTCGTTGTCAGGATATGGCTAATCAAGCTGTGAAAGAGGTTCGTTTTGGGTGTTTGGAATATTGTCCATTTTTTTCAAGAAATTTGACTTTATTTATTTTTAGATTAGTCGTTAATAACAATATTAGTGTTTTTTTAATAATGTCGATTTGTAAAGTAAGATCACCGTGAAATTACAGTTCATTAAAAATACTTGAATTATAATAATAATGAAGATATAATAGCTAATAGAATATCAACTAAAATTAGGGAAATTCCACAAAAATTCAGGATTATTCAAACCTGGATGGCCAAGGTAATGATAATGTCTGAACTAACTTCCTTTGGATGCATCCATTAGGTTTGTTAATATGGATCCCAACAGCTAGCCTCAACAATACTTTGTAGTCGAACTTTGTGCCCTTGAAATACAAACGCAATCTAATAAAGTGCTTGGTTCACAGAGCAAGAGCGATTTGCTCGGACGAATGACTTAATGAGGAACTTAATAATATTAAACGGTTGCTAAGTGAAAATGGTTATCCTAAAAAGTTTATTGATAAGAATCTGAATCTGAAACCAAAGCAGCCCGAGTTACCAACAATTCCGAAAAAGGAAGGCCTTATTCTTACAAATGCGGTTCCTTGGGGACAACACCAGCGATATACTAACACAGCGTCTTAGAAATGAGGCGGTAAAAAGAGCATTCCCTGCTGCCGAATTACGCTGTATCTTTAAAACCACTCTTCTTTTGCCTTCGGGAGTAAAAGACAAACTGTCTAATTTCGCCTCTTCCATGTGTATCTACCAATTTAACTGCTCCTGTGGAGCCAGTTACATAGGCCGTACAATTGGGCATGTTTCTCGTCGAATTTCCAAACATCACCCTGCGTGGTTAAGAAAAGGACAAACAAAATCTATTCGCAGCGCTATTCTGTCTCATCTTGTGGAGACAGAACACAAGAATGACGTTAACCATACTTTCAGGGTAATTTACCGCATACCTACGAATCTCGATTTCGCCTTAAGAGTTTGACTACTAAATATTGCTGAGTTTGGCTGTTGGGATCCACATTAACAAGCCTAATTTATGCATCCAAAAGAAGTTAGTTCAGACATTATCATTACCTTGGCCATCCAGGTTTGAATAATCCTGAATTTTCGTTGAATTTCCCTAATTTTAGTTGATATTCTATTCGCTATTATATCTTTATTATTATTATTATTATTTAAGCATCTTTAATAAACTGTAATTGCATTGATCACACTTTATTTTGGTCTACGTTATATATTAGTTATTGAGGTTTTTAGTGTGTCTTATAATTTGTGGATATTGGACTCGTTAGGTTTGCTTCAGCGATATATCATGACGGGGTATATACTACTGCCTAATATGAGTAGTTAGTTGTATACCCCACTTATACCTACTACTATCAGCGCTGTCTAATGAAATCAAAACAATCTAAACACGGGGCACCCCGACCGTTTCACTTGTCGTCTTGCCGTCTTAGTCATCGGTGGTGTACCCGCTTTTACTCAGCTCAGAGGTCTGAGAACTCCTCAATCGTAAGCTCTCGAATTCCTGTTAGCTACAGCTACCACCAGTGGTTCAGCTAGTGAAGAGTCTCTTTTCCGCCCGGTTTCATTCACTACAGCTGAATTAATTACAATTTATTTTTCAATTTGTTCAATTGATGTATCCGATAATTTTGCATTCAGTGCACATAAGAACAAGCAGAATAAATGCAAATTCTGTATTAATTTGTTAATTAGGTGTATCACGCAGTCAGTGAAACAGTATTATTATTATTATTATTTAATGATTTACGATGTTTCGAACACAATTTATTTATTGTTCATAGTCATATTAATTATAACTGTACAACTTTGAAACTTTAATTTTATAGTTTTCTTTATTCCTTTCTATTGGTCGTCTTAGGGGTAGTAGAACTTTCCAGATATCCGGTTGGACAGGTGCTCAGCCTGTATTTCCAGTTGACTTGATAAATAAAGCTTCCGTTATCAATCCCTCCCTCCACATTGTTATATTTGGTTCTAAGACTGTCATCTTATCTCCACTCCATTGTGTGGTTGGGAGTAATTGACTGTAGTGCTTTTAGTTGAACTATTCTCTACATTTTTTTTTATCTTATTAGGGTCAACTAATCTAGACTTTGTGTTAGGTTTCTGTGCTCCGCTAGTCTGACTGATTGACCTTTTGCTACTACTTTGGCACATGTTGTAACTGACCTGACAGTCTTTGCTGGGTATTAATTAAGTAAAGTAATTTACTCTGTATTTTTATGGACTCTACGAGATCCTTCAACCGACATATAACTTATTTCTAAGTGAGTTGGTGGTTTTCTGAATGCCAGCCACTTTTATTCCTGCCTTGTTAAAAATTCCATGTAAGATTTCTAAGGTTCCTTCTTTCTGTATGAAAGTGTACCTACTGAGGATTTAAATTCCCTTTTGTTTTGGTGTTGTCATAATTTTGAGCATGTTCGACATCCTCGTCGTCTTTAATTAATTAACTATTATTATTATTATCATTACTATCACTACTACTATTATTATTGATTTTATTTTACATTTTCCTACATACTTCCTGATTAATTTGTCAGCGTGTGAATTTACGATGTGCTGTTGAAACCATATGCCCCACTTGAAATCCAAGAAAGTGGTAATCATAATTTTACTGTAGTTTTACACTGAACACATCCCGTCTGATATGAGTTTGTACATAAACCCGTACAGTTTGAAGCAGAACGAATATAATTATGTCAGACTCTATCTCATAGGGGGGGGGTGGGAGACTCCACGCTTATATACACGTCTATAATTGTAGTTTTTTTTTTACTAATGTTTGTATCTCCATATGAAGGGTAGTCATTACTCTCTTTTGTCATTCTCTCTTTTTTTTCATGTTAACCTTTTCATTCCTCTCTCTCTCTCTGCTATATGTGTGTTAGGTAGCTGAGGGTCGTTTACGTATTATTCCAAGTTATCATATTCGTACGTGGAATAATTGGCTTGAAGATTGTCATGACTGGTGCATTTCTCGACAACTTTGGTGGGGTCATCGTATACCAGCCTATCATGTTTCTATTCGTCGAGATGGTGGCAGTCAAGGTAATGTGGAGGTGTTAAATGTAAGTTATTGGAGTGTTGTGTGTGTCTGTTAAAATTTCAAGGGAGACTTTTTGGGTGACATCATTGAGGGAGAAAGCGAGAGGGGAGGTAGGGGGTATCTTTAGGTGCGTAAATTCACCTAATGTGATGTGTAGCTTAGCATAGCATCCAACCTCATGGTCAACAAATTTATTTTATTGGGTATTTAACTTACTGTGCAAAGGCTACTTATAGTGTTTAGTCGCCCAAGTCTAAGTCTTTGCAAGCAGAAGCTTATACGGTAGAAACACAACTGAGTTCTTTATATTGGTTGGCCGATTTCATCATGAACTTACATCGGTTAAAGAACTACTGGGAAACCTGGCGGTACTGAACAGCTGTCTCGTCCTAGTTTGGGGCTCTTCATCAACACGCACAGAAATTGTGATGAAACAGCCTTCCAGTACTTCCAGGTGAATTTTCCAGTGGTTCTCTAACTGATGTCAGCTAATGATGAAACCGTTCAACCAATCAAACACAATCCCTACAAATACTTGAGTTCTTATATATTTATTCTTTATTTAACTGGGGTCTTGTGTGTTGCATAACTTAAAGTATTTAGTTTCCCTTTGAAAGAAAAGAATTCGTCTCTTTTATTTACTGAGTGGACTAAGCAGGATTTTTTCAGCTACATGATGACGGCGGTGGCATTTATCTGTCAGGATGTCAAAGTAAACCATGATGATCAGCTATCTGGGCAAAGTAAGACAGGTGGTCAAAATCCGAATTTTCAAACTAATGTTAAGTTAGTGCTTCTGTGTGTGTGTGTGTGTCTGTCTGTGTGTGGTTCAAAGACTTGTCATGATTGTTACCAAAGGCATTTATAACAAGCCGCTGTAGACTTTCTTCAGCAGATGCCTTCACCTGAAACTGGAGATCATATGATCCACCAGAAGGGATTGGCTGGCAGCAACTCTGGCAGGTAGGGGATCCAGGCAAAAATGTATTTCCTGACTGATAAATATGCTAAAGGAAATGGTAGTGGATTGAAGCTACATTGTGATTGCTTGTGGAATTATGTGGACTGACTGACTAACGGGGGTTTCGACATGGAACCTTGCACAGAAGTGCATCAGTTCGAGTCGCCACACTCCATGCACTACACAAAAGACGACAAAGGCGTTGGACAGAATACTATTAATCAGGAATTTAAGGGAGAATAAAATAGTAACATGGGAAAACAATAGGATTTAATTGATGTGACAGGTAGCAACGAGTAAAATGCATCTGTGTCATTGAGAACGATTTTGAGCCCATATCACCAACAGTCTGCAGCCATTGGTTCTTAGAATGATGTGGACCCCTCCCCCCAACCAGGAAGTGTACACCTCTCTATGTCGCTAAAACTAACTGTCACAAAAATTTTTATAGATTGATGGGATGCTACGTTTTTGTTTGACCCCACCACTTAACTCTTTTTCGACCTGATTCAATGTCATCAAACATTGCCTGCCGAGACAGGCGATGGCTAGGTATACTTAACGCATGTCCTATCTGTCCATCTCAATCGATTTGGCTCTGGACGTCTAACCTCACTATTACTTTCTCACCGCTCATGCTATGGAACTTGATTTTTTCTTGGGCTACCTGAAATCGGAGCATGGTTAGTGTTGTATGACTGCTTAACCCAGTGGACAACTGCTTTAGATAAGTTACACACGGCCTGCTTCAGTTGGTTTTTGGGGCCATACCTTCAGTGACACCATACCCCATACACTAGGCTTTCGGGTGCAAAATGAATGGAAGGCGACGGTTTGGGTGCCCGAGTGTAATAGTGAGAAGATCATGTGAAGACAAAATGAAAGCTTGTTGGAGAAGTTATGAAACGAGGTAAAAAAGACAGTAAGTAGAAAGCAGAATATACGATGTGGATGTATTGCTCTTTAGCCCTATGTCCGTTCCACTTGGGACGTAACGAAATTTGATTCATGATGAAAACTGCTTTAAATTAGTTGCCATAATTGGTATGTTTCTCAAAGTTCTGATGATAAATCAGAACGCATATCAACACACAAATGGTATATGGAGACAGTTGTCTACTGACAACATCTCACACAAATCAGATTTAATAAAAAAATTCTTCTTTCGACAAAGTGTATACATGCATGAGGGTTGTAGCCTTACCCCTTTGGTGAGAGCTGTCTGCAAGATAAAATTGCAGACAACAGTTGACGTCAGCGTTTACGTCCCAAATCGGGGACTCGAGAAAAAACAAGAACAAAGCCTAACCTCAAGGAGCTCAACAGCTAATCACAGCAGACTAAGTGTGGGCAGATACGATTCGCAGATGCATCACCGGACTGTTTAAGAAATGGCAACAAGAGATAACATAATAACCTTCAGTAGGAAAACAACCAATCAAAAGACGTTGCTTCTGCGCTAGCAATTACGGATAATAATGTACATAAAAAAAAATCTATAGATATCTGTTGATTTTCTCACTAACTCATCTGTTACTTGGCCTTTCTGTCTTCTGTCGTTACATACACCCACTAGAGGCAATTAAGTGGATATTTATGGTTGACGCGCAGGCACAAATTTACCTCGGATAATTTGATTTTGAGAGCACCGTCTATTTAGGTCACATGAAGTTGTGGCGCATCGGGGTTTAGGCGCTTGACTTTCCACTACTAGGGCGTGCTTTCGAACTCCACTCCACTCCACTGAAGTTTGGGCGGACTGCCAAGTTTGTATTACTAACCCTCATGCAAGTGGCGTAGCTCATTGCTGATTGAATGAAGGATTCAGGTGGTTGTTGTGTCATCTTTCATTTCATGTGAATAAGTATTGCAAATTTTTAACTTAAGTAACTTGATAAAACCCGTAAGCGTCAGTTATATTAGTTCTAGTGTGGAGTCGTAACCAGTGGGACCCCCACCAAGTAAAGTAAACGGACATTGACCGGCAATTGTGCTATATATATATATATATATATATATATATATATATATATATATATATATATATATATATATATATATATATATCATGAATTATCAGTAGTTGAAATTCATGACCCGTTGGATTGGATCCCAGTGGCTGAAGAGGGTCTACAAGCTTGCTGTCGTAACCAGAAGGTGCTGGATTCGAACCCCAATGGATACATACTGATCAGGAATAGTCCTGATCTAGGAAGAAACAACTGTCCAGTACTCCATTACCGGTTTTCCACAATGGTCCTGTAACTGTGATGTCAGCTCGTAGTGGAACTTATAACCAATCTGATCTTTGCAAATTAACACTTATAAGCATAGCTTATATTCATAAGTTCTTGGTTTTTTCAAAAAATTTAATTAAAGCCTTCAGATCATAATTCTTGGGTTGTTGGTCGAACATTGGATGAAGCAGTCGAGAAAGCGTGTAGCAAATTCAATTGTTCACCAGATTGTCTAATTCTTGAACAAGACAGTGATGTACTAGATACTTGGTTTTCATCCCAACTGTTCCCATTCTCTGTATTCGGTTGGCCAGATCAAACAGCTGATTTAAAAGCTTATTATCCAGGCAGTCTATTGGAGACTGGTCATGATATCCTCTTCTTTTGGGTTGCACGTATGGTTATGATTGGTTTGAAATTAATGGGTCAGTTGCCTTTTCATACTGTTTACCTGCATGCTATGGTACGTGATGCACACGGGAAAAAAATGAGTAAATCTTTAGGCAATGCAATTGATCCAGTGGATGTTATCAATGGAATACCATTGGAGGGTAAGCGCTGGTTTCTTTCGTTTCTTGTTGATTTTTCGTATTTATTGTTATGTTAAATTGGGACACCAACAGAAGTGCCACACAAAATGTCACAGTTTGTTCAGAGGCATGGGATACTGCTCGGATGCCCCCAGACCAAAGGAAGCGATTGTTTTAACGCGCTACCCTCCTCGCGAGCCATTGACTTGAAGTCTGATCTACGAGGAGGCGGTGGAGCAGCGTCATGAGCTGAGTTTTCATGGTTAACGATGGCCAATTCAGGTGCCATTGGAGGCGTTCGAATTCTGGAGCTCATATACACTACATAGGTTTGGAATCAGGGTATTCCAGCTCCCTCAAGTAAACCTGCATTTCCACCAGTCCAGCTTTAAAAGTAATACCAGACGTTCTCATTTGTCTTTTCACTGTTGTGAGGGACACCCCGACTGTGTGCTGACAGTGAATGAGACTTACCCGTCTTGCAGAAGCTATGTGATTTTGTCTCTCTGTGATTGTTAAGGATTATTCATCATTATGGTTTATCAGTTATATTACTGTAAACATGTGAAGATGTGGTTTATATTGACTCATGCACTCGACTTTCACTCTACATTTGGTCACAGACTGGAATTCCGCTCTACCTCCTACTATAGTATGGATAGATAAACCCAGACTTCACACAATCCATGCAGTAGTATGGCTTATAGCTATGGACATAAACGGCCTCTTCTTGACATTGAGTTCAAACAAACTGTAGACGTATGCGTAGCCTGGTGGTACTCACCTCTAAATTTCATTTATTATTATTATTGTTCCCTTGGGTTCCTAGTGGAACATAGGGCTTCAACTGTACGTCTCCACTTGCTTCTGTCTTCTCCTGTACTTTTCACCTGCATCCATCTTAGTCCATATATACTGTTTCAACTCCTCTTCACACGATCTCCTCCATGTCACCCTTGCACTGACGACCCACTCGCCACTTCTCTTTCGGGTTCCACTTGAGTGATGGCCTGATGCGCGCGATATCACCCAGCGGCGGCCTCCTCAGCGAGTGTCCAATCCATCTCCACTTTCTCTTGCATATTTGCTGGCTGGCGATTGGTTCTTGTTTTGTTTGTTCCTTCCCATAATCTCTTGTTGGTGGTGATTCTTTCCAGCCCGGACATCTGATCTTCAGTATAGAGCGACAGTTGACAGTTGTTGATAAAGGTGTGCAACAGGCTATTGGAAATATTCTTTGTGACCCACACGCCAAGTTTCTGATCCGTACAGAACAGCTGACTGACTTTACGTTTGTATTGAAAATCCGACGGAATTTTGTTGTTGATGCTGGCTGAGCGACAAAGATTTCCAGATCAGATTGGTTTCAGGTTGATGAATGTGTTTCTGGCCTTCCCGATTCTCGCTCGATTTGACATCATCGTTCGTTCCGACTGCCTGTAGTTGAGACAATACTCCCTAGATAAGTGAGTGAATGAAGTAACCTCTTTCAATTTCCTCCCGTTGATGGTGATTGGCGCTGAGTGTTGGTACTGTTGTTGTTGTTGGTGGTTGGTTATTTTCATAACCTCCGTCTTGTCTATGTTTACCTGGAGTCCTGTCTTCCCCGGTTGCTTCTTCTACCAGTTTGTCGGTTGGTTTTCGCTTGTAAGTCTTCGATTTTGTGACAGTGACATCAAACATAAATCATCGCCGCTCGAAATCCAGGTTTTTTAGGTTCTTCACGTCGGTCCAGGATATCCCTCCCTGTCTTCTCGTTTCCCACTCACTGTCTGACGCATAATCCAGTCCACCACAATTAGGAATATCATTGGTGATAGATAATAAGCACCCTTGTCTGACTCCTGTGTTCCGTTGTGGATCACTTGACATGTTCCGTTGTCGTACAGCTGGCTGTTGAATAAGGTTGATGCATATTTGGGGTACGCCGTAGTAGTCGTCTAAATTTCATTAAAAGGTGACAATTACATGAATATCTAGAAAACCTGGTTGACCATTTAACACTAGGTTACTTAAGCTATGAAAGAAAATAATCTCCATATCCCACCTTGATGTATTCAAATGCCGAGGATATCTTTGTTAGTTGGTTGGTTTATATGTGCTGTCCTGGGTGGCTTCTGAAATCTTCGAAATATTCTTTGATGTCTTTCTTGTGGAAGTGTGTCAAGGTATAATGTTTTTTACGTGTTAATCGAAAAGTCTCCACAAAAGTATTGTGGTACATGAAAAGTTTGTTCTTGTTAATTGGCTTCTAATAACAGTATTAAAACTCTTGATATTTCTATTCGCTTAAAAAGTAACCTGGTGTGAGGAAGAGTTATCGAATTCCGAGCATCTTTAATCAATTACAGAAATAGTTAACTGATTGTGCGTTATATATTTCCTTTTTTTGGCGCGCGTAGATTTACAAAAGCAATTGGAAGAAGGCAATCTAGATCCGAATGAGTTAGTACGTGCACGTCAAGCTCAAGCGAAAGACTTCCCTAAAGGTATACCTGAATGCGGTACTGATGCATTGAGATTCGCTTTATGCGCGTATACATCACAAGGCAGAAATATTAATTTGGATATTATGCGTGTACAAGGTTATCGATTCTTCTGTAATAAACTATGGAATGCTGTACGGTAAGAAATATGTATATATATACGTGTGATTCTTTACAAGCTGGTCGCAGGAGATTGCGTAATAATCAGTTTTATTTTTATTTATTCCTTTGCGTTCCTAGTGGAACTTAGGGCTTCATGTTTGATGTCCTGAAGTTTCAGTAGCAGTGGTGTTTATTTGTCTCACACCCAATCTTCTCCTGTTTTATCAGAGTTACTACCGGTTAGCCAGGGTTTAGGAGTAAGTCTGCCAGGAAACATATTCCGGATCTTATTCTTTATTTAGAGTGCAGAAGATTTCAGAATGATTGGAAGTTCATCCCGCCACTTCAATTCTGACTTTGACATCTTCATCCTCTCCGCCTGTGGTTGAAACTCTACATCCTAGATAGATGAAGAAATTAACCTCTGTTAAATCTCTTCCTTGGAAAGTGATCGGTGCTGGTTGTTGTTGTTGTTATTGTTGCTGTTGATTGGTTATCTTCATCACCTCCATCTTCTCTATCTTTACGTGGAGTCCTGTCTTCGCTGCCACCTTCTTCAGCCAATTTGTTGTGTATTTTGCCTGCAAGTCTTCCAGTAGTTTGGGTGACACTAAAAACATAAATCATCCACATGCGAAATCCAGATATTCTAGAGTCGGTGGTACAGTGTATTTCTGTCTCCTCGCTCCCCACAGTCTAACGCATAATCCAGTTTACGCCACGAGTTTATTGATCATCTCTCCCGATGGCTGAAATTGAACGTGATTGGTTGTTTCCGTATGTTTTCACACCATCTAGCCTACTTATATTGGTACTGATTGTTTCCTTGACTTGAACTTTGACCCTTTGTGTGTGTGAGATTCTCTCCTTATCGATTGGTAAATGTTGTCTATCTCGATGTGTCTATTAATTGACGATTTACTAGAATACCAAGTTTCTAAAAATTCTCTGGCATTCTTGGTGTTTCCTCTGTCTTATACCTGAACGTTATTCCAGTCGAATTGATGTCCGTGGATGTGAGTGATGTGAGGGGAAGGGCAGTGGATATATCGTATCGTTTGATGGTTAGTTTGTGTTAATGGATGCAAAGACGAAGAGAGGGGTCGTTCACTATGGCCAATGTAGTATTTTTCGCAGTCATTGCAACTTATTTCGTAGATGATCTTGGTTTTATCTTTTTCCCGCTGTTGGGTCTTTTAGTTGATACTGAGCTGAGTGAACTGATTTTGTTGGTTTGTTTGCGACATCAATTTCTAAAGGTTTGAAGAGTCTTGCAGTGATTTCTGAGATGCCTTCTATATTTATGGTAGGGCGATTTATTTTGTTCTTTTTTCTTGGGGGCCTTTGATTTGGTAGGTTGGCTTGTGGGTAGCTGTCTTTTAATGAAATTCCGTGGATATCCATTCTCTTGGAAGACTTCCATGAGGTGTCTTTTTTCAATTTTCCTTAAGGTAGGAGTTCTGCAATGAGTCATGGCCCCCTCTTGAATAGCGTTTGTATACAACTCCTTTTGTGCTTTGTTTGATTGCTGCTGTTGTAATTAAGTATATGGTTCGTGTGAGTTGATTTTCTATAAACTTGAGTTTCTAATTTTCCTGTGATTGTTTGCTTAACTTAGACGTCTAAAAATGGGATTTTGTTCACGGATTCCTCTTCTCTTGTGAATCTGATGTAGCTGAAGACGTTGTTTATTAAAGTTATGGGTTTTGTCTAACTCGCTTCTTTTGGTTATTGCGAATGTGTCGTCTACGTAACGTATCCGAATTTTCGGCTTGATCTTTGGTAGGATTATGTTTTCGAGTCTTTGCATCACTGCTTCTGCAATCAAACATGATATGGGTGATCCTATGGGTGTTCCTTTGGCCTGTTCATATATTTCAGCGTTGAATTGGAAGTACGCTGTTAGGCATAGATTTATGCATTTAATCCAACTTGTGTGCTGCAGCTTTGATTGTTGTACAGTAACTGCTCCATGATATCTTTTGATAGTTTCTGTCCAACTGTGGTATATATAATGCTGTGATATAGAAGGATACCATTATTTCTTGGTGATCTATTTTTGAAGGCCTTTGATTATCTCTAGAAATTGGATAACAGATTTGATGGATTGATCACAGAAATCCGTTCAGTGTTAAAAAATGATTGTTCTGCAAGGTGATACCACATTTTCTATAGTTTGGTTTGTAAGGGTTAGTTATGTTTTTACGAGTTGATCACGGATTGAACTCATTTAGAGAGCCATTGAAAACAGGGGAGTCCTGGACAGCTAGCTGTTTCATCCTAGTTTGAGAATCATCGGCAGTACGCATCCACTGTGGTTATTTGATGCTCGCTAGTGACTTGCTACAGGATGGAGTTTCCTGGAGTTCTAGTGAGAAGTTGTGTCCAGTGAGGTCCAATTAGATGTCACGTGTGAGGATGGATGTCCCACCAACGAAAATGGTTGGGGTCGCGCTAAATCACGAATTGTTAGGAGTTAGAATTCATGCAGTGGCCATTGAATCGGGTCCCAGTGGCTGAATGGTCGTCAGCGAGTTTGCCTTGTAACTGGAAGGTCCCGGGTTCGAACCCTGGCGTTAGGTGCGTACTGCCGATGATTCCCAAACTAGGATGACACAACAGCTGTCCAGTACTCCCTGTGGTTGGTTTTCAATGGTTCTCTAACTGATATAAATCCATGATCACCTCGTAATCCCACATTACATGTCAATGAAGCTGATCTAAAATCAGGAATCTTATGCATAAAAAAGCGACAATTTTTTGCGAACTTCGTTCCTCGATTTCTGAGGGAAGCATACGACTTCAATGACATACATCTGCATTTCACTGGGGTTCTCTGTGATCAATTTCAGTTAGCTCCACCAGGGTACCCATAGCTTTCATTTCTTCCTCACATTGATTTTGTTCCACTAGGGCCAGGAAACAAATCCTTTATTATTAGCGCTATTGTTAGCAGAGATGCAACGTCTTTTGATTGCTTGTTGTCTTGCTCAAGGTTGTTCTGTCATCTCATTGTTGCTGTTTCTTAGAAAGTCAGGCCATATATCTGCGAATCATATTAGCACACGTTAAGTTTGCTGTGATTGGTTGGTGAGTTCCTCGAGGTTAGGCTTTTTGTTATTGTTTCTTCTCATGACCCCGATTTGGGACGCAAACATTGATGTCAATTTCAAGTGTTGGTTTGTAGGGATTTGATTGGTTACAGGATTTCATCATGAGCTGACCATTGGAAAAGCTGCAAGGAGTACTGGAAAGCTGTTTCGTCTTAGTTTGGGACTCCTCATCAGTACGCACTCCCCGCCAGGGTTCGAACCCTGGACCTTCTGGTTACAAGGCGAGCTAGCTCGTATACCATCAAGCCACTGGGACCCGATCCAATGGTCGTTGAATTCTAACTTCTACCAATTCACGACATTGCGCGACCCCTAGCCAATGTCTTCGGCGAGTATTTGTCCTCACACGCGACCTGCTGCACTGACGTCAATTGTTGCCTACAATTTTTTATCTTACAGATGACAGCTCTCACACCAGAATGTCGCATTGTTACACATTGGTTATTGTCTTTTATCGTTTTACTTAATGTTTTAAAAGGAAACATCTAAAAAAATTCACTCCTCTTTGTGTTTCTATATTTCCAGTTATGCATTATTCTACTGTTTAGACAAAGAATTTATTCCACCCGATATGACTGATTTGAATGGTTTATTCAAACAATTGCATTCACATCCTCTCTTGTCGGGTACTGATCGTTGGATACTTTCAAGGCTAGCCTATTGTGTTATGCAGTGTAATACAGGATTTGCAGACTTTCAGTTTTCTAGTGTTACAACTGCATGTTATAATTTTTGGCTGTATGAATTATGTGATGTCTATTTGGTAAGTAAGCGTGTCTATATACTGAATATTTATATTATTGATTTTATTTGGTGCCGTTTGTCCTTTTTCTGTTGTGGCAATCCAATCAAAACTGGGCTAGAATGTCCCGGCCAAACTAGTACACAACAGTTGTTCATCACTGCCGTCTGGTTTTCAATCCTTCTGTAGCTGATGTCCTCACTAGTCAGTAGTCAATCAATCGATATTTAGGGAAGATTCATTCAAAGTTATCTACAAAATCAAAAGAAGCTTTTCGAAAACGGTGGGCTTCTGCGTACTTACTTCTCATTATCGAAGTCTAAGCCATTCGAATGAAAAACCCTGAAATTTCTATATCCTCTCCTTCTAACTGCCGTATATTTCCAAGTTCTACTGTTATCAGTTAGAGAAGGATTGAAAACCAGAAGATATTAATGGGCAATTGTTCTTTACTAACTTGACGTTGGTGACACATTGGTAGACCGCTGGCCGACCATGCGGGTAGTCCGGAGTTCGATCCCCGGCCACCGACGCACTACTTTACCTTGCTAAGCCAGTAGTAAGACTGTTGCTCCACGAAGAACGTATAGGAATAAAAAGAAATCAACTTGGCGGGACATTCCAGTAGTAGTACCCACGAACAATCCCACTACCGGGGATAGAAGCCAAGACCTCCAGACTACGAGATGAGTGCGTTTACATTTACTTATTTCACATCTACACTAAGTACTTGCGATAAGAACGAAAATGTAATATAAATGAGGTTTAGAAGTTATGTGGGACTACCAGGATTTGATTATGAGCGATAAATTGGTTGAAACGTCATCAGTAAGTATCGACACAGCTGTCTGTTTCTATTCTTATATTGATGACAGTTCTTTACAAACATTTTTCTCTTCACATGTTACCACATTCCGATAAACGACTGGATTTTGATTTGTATTTCACTGCCCGACCGTCTTAGGAAAGTCTAATGTAGAAAGTGATTATATATATATATATATATATATATATATATATATATATATATATATATATATATATATATATATATATATATAGTGTTTAGGAGTGCAAGACAGATGTTTTTTCCGGGGTTTGTGACTCTTCAACAGGGTCCAAACCCAGACGTTCAGGTCACAAGGTGAGCTTGTGAATCGTTCAACGGGGTCTATCAAGTTAAGTGAAAGAAATCACTCACCTACAAAATTGGCTGGTGGTTGCGCCACATACAAATATATATATCCCAAATTGGAGGAGTTTGGAATTCAAGGGCCACTGGATCGGGTCCCACTGGCTGAATGGCCTAGCAGCTCTCTGTGTAACCGGAAGATCTTGGATTCAGACCCCGGGTGGTTGCATATTGATGAAGAGCACCGGTAACTAAGACCAAACAGCTGGAAATTGCAGTACTCCCTTGCTTTCCAATGGGCCTTTAACTGTTTGTTGTCAATTTGTGATTAAATTGGTCACCAATTAAATTCCTGCAAACCATATATTATTATTTCCTTTAATTCCTAGAGGAACATAGGGCTTCACCCGCGCGTCTCCATTGCGTTCGGTTCTCTGCCAACGTTTTCACCTGGCTCCACGTCTGTCCACGCGCTTTCATCTCTTCACATGACCTCCTCCAAGTCACCCTTGCATTGACGACCAACTCGCCGCTTCCCTTTCAGGTTCCACTCGAGCAATGGCTTGTCTAGTGATGTCACTTGATGGTTTCTTCAGAGTATGGCTAATCCATCTCCATTTCTTCCTGCTTATTTGTTTCACAGTCGGTTCCTGCTGGGTTGGTTCGCTCATTGCCAGAGATGCCTGTCGCTGATCTTTTCTACCCGGCCATGTGATCTTGAGTATTGAGCGAAGATAGCTAGCTGTTAATGAATGTCTGTAGTTTGTTTGAGATGCTCTTTATGACGCGCCAAGTCTCTTATCCGTATAGTCGTACTGACTTCACATTGGAGTTGAAAATCCGGATCTTATATTCGTTTTCATGCTGAGTAGTGCTGTTGACCTCCACACAGACTTGAGAGTAATGAAAGCTTGTCTTGCTTTCCCGATCCTTGCTTTGATATCCTCGTCAGTTCCGCCTGTATTTGAAACGATGCTTCTCAGATAGGTACGTAAAGGAGGTTGTTTCTTTCAGGTTCCTCCCACTTATGATGATTGTTGTCTGTTGGTGTTGGCCGGGGATCTTCATCACCTCTGTTTCCTCTATGTTCACCTGAAGTCCTATCTTCTCTGGATGCTTCTTCTGCCAACTTGTTGCTTTTCACTTGCAGTTTGTGGGAAATCAGGCATATCATCGGCGAAGTCCAGATTCCCCAAGTTTTTTGTGTGGGTCCATTTTATGCCTGTTTCCTCGCCTCCCGCTGTTTGTCGCACTATCCAATCTACTGCAATCAGGAAACCAACTCACCATATATATATATATATATATATATATATATATATAACTGTTTATATTCACCTGATATATTGTCCAAGTATCTTGAATCATTTCAGGAATATACAAAGCCTATAACTAAATCAAAACAGACAACTACGATGACATCAGACTCGACGGGTGGAGACAATGAACGTATTAAACTTGTTCGTCAAATACTCTATGTTTGTTTCAATATTGGCCTACGTGTGCTACACCCGTTTATGCCATTTATAACTGAAGAATTATATCAACGTTTGCCTAGACAAAAGGATCATTTAATGATGATGAATACAACTCCGGATAGTTTATGTATTACACCTTATCCAAAATCGAATGATGTAAGTCACATGAGAAACTATTATTGCTTCTTTTTTCGTCGCCGTTATTATTTTGAAATAGAAAACTATTTGGATGATGTATTTAATTATACACACTGTTGTTTTCTTCAGTTCATGAATAATCCTCATCCAGACATTGGTAAAAATAAAACACACTTTTGTAGTTCAGTGAAGAGTCTCTCTTTTCGCTGGCGGATTCATTCACACTTAGATGTACACAATCGCAATTATATACAATTATTTTTATGTGTATGTGTATACATTAGGTCTTTCTGTCTGTTTTCAACATAGAACTTTGCACCGATGTGCGGCAGTTCACGTCTCAACACTCCCTCCATGTAGCACACAAAGCAAGAGAAGGAAGTACAAGAAATGCATAATAGAGACAGTAAACAGAGGTGTGAGACAAAGGAATAATAATGATGAGGAACAATATACTTTCATTTGAAACCATAAGTCACAAGGAGTGGATGCATCTGCACCAGCCATCATTGAGAACGATTTTGAGCCATATCACTAATTGTCTTCAGCCTCCATTGGTTTTTACCGTCCCGAGGACCCCAACCAGTGTGGAAGTCTGCGCCTTCCTACGTGGTTGGCTTAAACTAACTGTTGTGGATTTCATTACCTCATGAAGCCATGTTTTGGTGTGGCTGCCGCCAGCTCTTTTCCAGTCTGACTCTATGTCAGCTAACATTGTCCGTCGTTGAGGAAGGCGATGGCTAGGCTAGGTATATGTAACACATATGTTGACCATCTCAATCGATTTCGATTGATTTCCCCTCCTTGACTTACCTAGCACTCGACCGAAGCCTAACCTCAATGTTGCTCACCTTATTATACCACTTCACACGGGAGATAGATCGAAGATAGCTAATCTTTTCATGTCGTCCACTCTCAATGGCCATGCCTTACTGACAGCCATGAGGGAGGACGAAACGGACTACTGAGTAGTGCATCCGTCCTTTGGTCGATAGCCAGTGGGATATCACGTCTACTAAGCCAGAGATGGCGTAAACTGGCATATGGGAAAGAGCCTTCCTTATCCGTGCTGAGATTTCATCAGACATCAACCAGTTGGAGTTGGCTGATTCAACTTCCCAAATAACTGATGTGGTCAACATCCTCTACCACTTCACTCCCTATTTCTAAACTAGGAGTCAGCGTAGTCCAGTCTTGTAATATCATCTTGCGTTTGGCTGGAGTGAATCGCATGCGAAATTGGTTTGGCACAGTGGTGGAATGCTCGTCAATCACACAGGCGGTTTGGAGTTCGATCCCCGGCCACCGACGCACTCCTTTACTTTGCTAAGCTAGCTAGTAAAAGAACTGGTAAGGAGGGAAGGTTGGACATAGGGCTAGCAACTTCATCCTGTAAAAGTAATAAACACCACTGCTGCCGAAACTTCAAAGCTCTAGCTTGAAGCCCTGTGTTCCACTAGGAACGTAGAGGAATATTAAAAAAAATAGCAAAGATTATTGCGTCACCAAAATATTTTAAAAATATGATGAATAATCAATTTGTAACTAGGGGATAGGGGGAGGTAGTTAGATCAGTATGAGGGGGTAGTGGTGATGAGTTGTCAAAAGATACATTTGTTTATGTTAGTCAATGTATATGAGAAGTAGGATAATTGTGATGTAGTCACATAGTAAGATGAATAATTTAATGACCGAATTTCGATTAAGATGTACATAGAAACGAAGGAAAATTTGGAATTATGCAAGATTTCTAAAGGGCGGGGGTGGGTGGGTACACGAGTTATAAGGAGTTAGAAAAAACATGCACATAAACATTAGCTTAGTGGAAATCAACTTGTTTGTTGCCACGATGATAATAGTAGGAGTGGTTCAATGATTTTCTTTTGTTTACATAACTCTATTTTTTTTTGTAACTGATTTGCAAAGGTTTCAGCAATACAAGGAAGTCGAAAGCGTGCTGCCTTTGGCAGGTCATTCTTCACTTTGTAGATCGCTTCAAAACGGATGGTTTTTTGAAATGGAATGGTTAGTGTTGACAGAGAGCCATTACTGCCTTTTTGTCGCCATGCTGTAGGATAGTGTTCTCGAATCGTTTTGGACAGGATACTCGTGGAACTGTAAATGTGAGATGCAAAATCTTGTCGTTTAGGCTTCTGCAGACTAATGGACGACTGGATAACACTATTCTTGACAAAATTAATCTACACACATACATACATGCATACATACAAAAGTAATTATATATAATTCCGTTTGTGTACAGCTGTGTGAATGAATTCGTCGGAGAGAAAAGACTCTTCACTGAAGTACACGTGTTTTGTTTTCTTTATTCTTTACACCATGAGTAGTGGAAGACCATGAGACTTCCAGCTTGATGCTGTGGATTTTCAGTAGTGGTGGATTTTTTTTCCACGGGATTGGATTGCTATCCTCACGCCATCAACTACCCCTCTCTCTCTTTCCAGACTTGTTACCTTTATGGTGAGGTTTAGCAGTGAGTCGGTTGGTAATCGAATCAAATGAACAACGTGCAGCACATAATATAGTACATATTTACTCCTTTGGTATTAGACTAAGAACTTGTTGACAACTGATCAACTGTGTTTCAACATAAAACTCTGTACAGAAGTGCTGCAATTCTAGGCGCTACACCGCATAGAATACACAGGGACAGAGAAAAGAAAGCACAAAAGAGAACATGAACGTACACGAGAAGGAATAGTGACGTGGGAGAATAAAAAAGTTTAATGGACATGTATATAGCAGATCATAAATACTGAATGCAGCTGCTCCATTCAAAATGGTTTTGGCCCATATATCACCAACTGTGTGTCTCCAGCCAGTGGTTCTTAGTGTCTTGAGGCAGTCAACACCTCCCTATATTATGTGGCTTCAATCAACAGTAATAGACTTTGTAGATTGATGGTCTGGTTTGATTTGACCCCCCCCCCTCCTAAATCTGTTCCAAACTAATCTCGTACGTCAGCTAACAGTGCTTGTCGAGTAAGGCGGTGGCTTGGCATGTAGCTGTAAGGTTATGTAGATATACGTTACATGTTTGGAATTTTGTTTCTTGTGGTAGTTTGGACAGTTAGGTCATAAACCATATATTAGTTGGTTTCATGCATTGTCAGGTTTTTAACTGAGATTCGACTTATCAAATTGGTTACGCACTTGACTCTCAGCTGGTGGATCCTGGGACTGAATTCACCTCAATCTAGACAATTAATAAGTATCATCACTACAGACAAAATAACTGTGTTTCCATAGTCCAGTACATGAATAGCTTGTTCAGGGAGTTCTAAGTGACTGAGTGAGTGATTACTTTTGTCATTGTTGAAAAACCAGATGTGTATTAGAGAAGTAGTGTAACACACTGGCTTAAATATTCAACTCTCCGGGAGGGGGTGGACAACTGCTTGAGGTCGGTAACACACGGCCTGTTTGAATTGGTTTTTAGAATTGTTCCCGTAATAGTAGGATCTTACCGCCTCACTGTACACTTTTGTAGGCCAACCGTTTCTCACCTCATCTCCTATGTCATAACAGATAAGCAGTACAGGTGGTGGCTTACTGGTGGTCATCCGAAGGAAAAACCTTATTGCTGTCACATCCTCATTCGCCCGTAGTGTTATTTCACCTACACAATAACGGTCACAATAACGATCTTTCTGGCATATTAGGACTTGTATTGAAGATTAGTCCCATCCAATGTGTTTAGCTCTTTGAATCACTGGGAATGTGTAAGCCAGATCATCACGTCAAGATATCCGGAGGTGTAATGGTTGGAATTGTACATAAATAAGGCCAAACAATATAAAGTTTTTTTTTAAACTTGTCGTGTTTTAAACACTTATATTTTTCTTCATATCTCTCTACTATATATATTCTGTAGATTAGTATATTGAATGATGCAGATGGTGTTGAAACAGATTTTCGTCTTGTCCTGAATATTATTCATCGTGTTCGTGCTCTGTTATCCGCTTGTCATATCCCAATGTCTCTTGCTAATCGTCAACCCTTGAGTGTAAAATTTGTTGCACCGGAAACTGTATTATCCATGCTTAATAATGGACAATATGTTAAAGATGTGATTGAACCATTGGGTCGATGTTGTGTTATACAAATGGTTTGTGATCGTAAACAACGTAAGTATTGTTATATATAAATGAATGAATGAATGAATGTGATTTGATATGTTCTTGTTTAATTTTTTGAAGGAGTATTTTATCATAGGTAAAATGTTAGTCAATCAAGGAGACTTGTGATAGAGAAATGTGAATACGAATTGACAGAATTTTTTGGGTCGTTTGATTACGACGACCCAGTGGTTGAATTGTCAACGAGCATGTACACCTTGTGTAACCTGAATGTCCTGGGTTCGATCCCCATTGTTGTATACTACTGAAAAGTCCTAAACTAGGACGAAACAGCTATCCAGTACTCTCTACAGAGATTGTCAATAGTTTTATAACTGATACCTTCAACTCGTGATCGAATTCGAAGTGTGAATGCATCACATCAGTCCTATAGCCGTGTTTCCGTTATTATTAGCCAATATTGGATTATATTCTCCGCACGAGAGGAGGTGCGTTATACAATAGTCTGTCCATGTGTTATTTCTGCTCATGCTTAAAAAACTTGTCCATTGATTTATCACCAGGGTGTAATGAATGTCACACGTGTATTTCTTGGTGTTGGCGCAGACTGAATTCTATCAGTCAAGGTTATGATGTCGTCGTCACCATGCTAAGTGGCTTGCCTTTTGGGGGTGCTCTGTGAATTGTTCTTGTTAGATGGTTGAGGGATGTCATAGGCAGTCCTCACCTGACCTTGTTTTCGTGGTTGTCGGTACTCACAACTGGTCAGCATGGTGTATCTGCAACCTTGAAGGAACTCATATATCCCCTCTTACATACCGACTGCATATCACTTAGTGTTGCAGTCACTAATCAATGTATCTATTACGGCCTTACAGGGCGTCAATCGTGCGTAACCCTGAATGGCTCAAGTGGTAATGTGTCTTATAGGAAGACACTAATTCCTCACTGCCTTACTGACGAGTGCAGAGAAGCACGAAATCTAGGTAAGACAGGGCCTTCTGCCGTTTGACTCCAAGCATCAAACTACTTTTTTGTTACTAATGGTTATTAAGATCCTATTGAAAAGAGTAGAGTAAGAATAATCAAGGGGTTGTTTCGTTCTGGCTTGGGACTCTTCAACAGTACTCACCCCAGATTGTTGAACTACGGTAAAACAGCTGTCTAGTAAGTACTCCGTGATTCTCGGTAGTTCTCCAACTGATGCCGATTTGTGGCCTACCTTGAAATCCTAATTTGTGACTCATCCGCAGCACGTACCCACTAGGGTTCGAACCCAGAACTTTCCAGTCACAAGACAAACTCACAGACCATTCAGCTACTGGGACCCGATTCCTCAATGGTCAATCCATTAATTCCAACTTCTACCAGTTCATGATCTTAACACGGCTGACACCAGCTAATGTGTTATGGCTGACGAGTATTTGTCTTCACTCTCGAACAGGTGAACCCAACTGGTCACAATTTCTCACCTAAACTACAGGCAGCCTCATCCTGTAGGCAGTTACTGACAAGAATATCGGAATAATTTCCAAGAGTTAGTTAGTCTACGAGCTCGTCTTGTATCCAGAAGGTTCTGAGTTTGAGTCTCAGTTAGTATGTGCTGCTGAATAATGCCAAACTAGACTGAAGAAACAGCTGTCCAGTCCAGCTGGTTTTTCAACAGTCCTTTAACCGATGTCAGTTCATGGTAAAATCCTATAAACTAACTCTTGGGAAATAATTCCTTTTATCTCCTTTCTATCATTAACATTCAGTTTCTTGCGAATATCCTTCATATTACGTAATTTTAGTCTAAACTTACCTTCACACACACACACCGTCGTAGTTATATATTTTGATTATTCATTAGTGTTTTGAAATATTCTGATGATGTAATCAATACTCAAAAAATAATTTTTATATTTGTACCATGTATACATGTCTGTCTGTCTGTGCACCAGTTCAAGTCTCCACACTCCCTCCTTGTAGCACACAAAGCAACAGCAGAAAGCAGAAGAAATGCATAATAGGAACAGTAAACAGAGACTAGGACCCGAAGAGTCCCAAACTAGGATGAAATAGCTGTCCAGTACTCCATGCAGGTTTTCCATTGGTTCTCTAACCAATGTCAGCTGATGATGAAATCCTGTAACCAATCAACCGAATTCCCTACAAACCAATACTTGAGTTCCATTTCCTTTTTCCTCTATTTCCTCTATTAGTTGTAACCAACCCTTGTAATTTCTCTGTTTATATTTCCTTTACACAAACATAGTTGATACTACTGGATGTGTAAGTGGTACAGTTTCAGCGAGTGATATTCACTGGGAAAATGATGAATTAACTGATAATCCTGAATTACTCGATGAAGATGTGTTATGCAATGGTGAAGTTAACGTGAACACCGCCACCTCCACCTCTGCTGCCGTAGAACAAAAGCAATCAATTATCCCAGCTACCTGTCAGCTATTTTTATATGTTGCTGGTTTAATTGATGTCTCACTGGAGCAGAAACGTTGTCAAGATCGTCTCACAGAATTGACTTCCTCTATCGAAAGTTTGGAGAAGAAACGTGCACAACCAGCGTATTCTGAGAAAGTCCCCTTGAAAACTCAACGAATGGATGAGAAAAAAGTAATTTCTAGCGTAATTTTTTTTTGTGAATCGAAAGAAGTGCTAAAATATGTTAAATATATATGTGCTCACAAAAAATTCTCTCCGTGCAAGATGTGTATCTAGGTATTTCATACTTGTTGGTGTCACATCAATCTTGTTGTAACTTCGTGTAACGTACTAAGGTTGTATCCTTACAAGTCCCTTGTAGTTTTTGTGGCATTATTTATTTTTACGAGTTGATCACAGATTGATATCAGTTAGAGAACCATTGAAAACCAGCCAGGGAGTAGTGGACAGCTGTTTCATCATTGGTAGTAAGCACCTACTGCCGGCGTTCGAACCCAGGACGTTCCGGGGTCGCGCCGAATCACGAATCGGCAAAAGTTGGAATTCATGAGCCATTAAATTTGGTTCCAGTGGCTGAATAGTACACGAGCTAGCTTGCCTTGTAACCGGAAAGTCCTTGGTTAGAACCCCGGCGGTAGGTGCCTACTGCTGGTGATTCTCAAACTAGGATGAAAAAGCTGTCCATTAATCTCTGTAGTTGGTTTTCAATGGTTCTCTGACTGATATCAATCCGTGATCAACTCATAGAAACAAAACTAATCCTTACAAACCAACTATAGAAAATGATCCTTTGTTATTTTATTCCTTAGCCTTGTGGGTGGAATGCAGGGCTTTGAACTTGAGCACCAAAGTCTTAGTAACTGTTGTGTTTCCCTATGGATTAAGGTTTCCAGTCTCATGCCAAATCCTCCCTCTTTGTCAGGCTTACTACCGGCTAAGCGGGTAGTGCGTAGGTGAAGAGGGGTCGGGCCCCGAACCGCTTGTGGTATGGTTGATGAGCTTACAACTGCTGAACCGCCTATGCATGATGTATTTGCGAATTCTTATACAGTGCCTAGGATAGATATTGAAGTGCTTTAGTGTTGATCGTAGTCTGCGCATCAGTTCGAACATCGTGCTGGTATTCAATACTACCATGCTTCGCTTTACTTACTTACTTTACTTTACTTCGGCTATCTCCTACGGGAGGATGAGCCGGCTTCATGAACGTCTCGAATCATCGCTGCCCAGGCGCGGCAATTTGTAAGAGAGTTCATGAAGTTTCATGGGAATTTGGTACGAGTGATGTCCCCAGCATCGCTCGGCCTTTTGTTTGAGAGTGCAGCTCTAGCCTTTACACAGCCAAGTGTGACCTACAAGGCAGTAGGAGTGGAGTAAGGAGTCCACTATCCATTGGCAGCCGGTGACCGGAGTTCGGTTCATACGCCTTTTTGAATGGGGCCAGACATCCAGGACATCCAACAAGCCCTTTGTCCATACGTCTGCCGGTGAGCTCCAGTGAGCTTCATACGCCAGTCGTTGGAGGTTTGGAATCAGGGTTTAGCCATCTCCCCTAGACCGTCATCCAATGGACAGTCAACCCGGTGGAGAGCGCCGGGCATCCGCTTTCGCCCTCTTACTTTGGTGAGAAACACCTCCGCCACGTGAAGGCAGTGAGTAGGACTTCCTCAGGAGAGGCTATGTAAGACGCCCGGTCATATGGGAGCATTTCAAGAGGTGTGCGGAGGGGTGGCCAACCCGCAGCGCAAGGCACCCACCCCCGACCATCCTGAGGCTTTGGAGGCTTCGCTTTCATCGAAAGCAGACCCATCGATTGACTTGCAGGCTTCCCGATGACTTTTACTTACCGGCATCATTTCATCTCTCCGATTCCCAGAAAGAATAAGTATTTTAAAGTTTCCTTCTGTTTCCTAAAGTTTCTGTAGCAACTGGAGTGATTTTCTGGGTGGGGGAGGGTCTGGAAGGCTGGCTATTGACACGCTCAACCTTCCCTCTTTTTTTCGGGTTTAGGACTAGCTAGTACTACATGCGGCACGGACCAAGATGTCATAGCCCACCAAGAACGAAATAACAAGGCAGAAGTTTATTCGTCTCACTGCAGTCAGTATAAAGAACAAAATTCAAATTTTCAACAGTAATGTCAAGTCAGTCAAATGCTTCTGAGAATTTGTCGCATCGCGAAAAGTATTTCCAACAGCCTATTTGCAAACTTTGATTAACACATCTCCCTTCGTACATACTCTGAAGATCAAAGGTGATGAGAAAGGTTTAGCCAATGGGAACTCTGGCAATGAAGTAACCAACTTTGTAATTACTTTCCTCTTTTCTCCTTGGCTATATATCATTGTTCTAAGTCTTGTATATCAAGCAGCGACTTAATCCTCATTGTTGTGTTAATTTATTATAGTGGTTTCTAGTTTGAATGAAGTCCAGGGCTAGCCTTGAATTGCCTGTGGAAAGTGTCTGGGACATAATTCTTTGTTGGGAATATTCTTCTTCTTGATTCGCAGATACTCCTTACAGTTGATTTGGTCGAATAATTTTACAGTTTTAAGCATGAGTTGACATCGGTTAGAGATAACCATTAGGAAAACCTGAGAGCACTAGGAAGTTATCTTGTTCTGGTCTGGGACTCTTTGGCAGTATGTACCCAAAGGGGTTCGAACCCACGGTCTTCCAGGGTGTTAAAGGGCAAGCCTGTAGATGACTCAACTACTAAGACCCTATCCAATTGCCTATGCATTTGTTTGGTTACACTGTTGGGGAACGCTAAGAATGGTTTCTAGTTTTCAGACCGCAACACGTCGCGTTTTAGATCACTACACTCTATTCGCCGTCAAGTTGAATTGTTGATTTTTGTTTTTAACCTCCTTTTTATTGTCGACTCTGAATTTCTATGTCTTTTCCTTTCATCCATAGTTGTATGAATTGAATATTGAATTAGAAAGCCTGAAAGAGGTGCTTTCTAATCTGCAAGAAATTAAACAAGACAATTCAAGCGATTCAAAGCAGGCTGATAGTCAGCTGCTTAACGCACTGTCTGTTTATCTCAGCGTGCAGTGTTCAACACAGTCAATAAATGCTACAACAGATTTAGAGGCTAAAATTGAAAGTATTCTAACTGATACATTGAAAGGAGGTGAACAGGTAATTTTATAGACAGTTGTTGCTATTATTTTTTTGACTTTTTATTTTTTTTAATTAATATAATTAAGGATGGGACTCTATCTAACCTTTCCTTGGGTTGTTGCATCAGTCAGTGCCAACGGGTTGATCGCTGACGAAATCTCAGTACGGATACAGAAGACTCGTTTCGCATATGCCAGTTTAAGCCGTCTCTGGCGTAGACATGATATCCGACTAGCTTTCGACCAAAGAGCGTGTGTACTGCTCAACAGTTTGCTCCGTCCTCCTTTATGGTTGGCTGTGAGACATGGCCATTGAGAGTGGAAGACATGCAAAGACAGGGTAGCTAGTTGTCTTTGATCATAGGTGTCAGCGTTCTATCTCCCTTGATAAATGGTGAGCAATAATGAGGTTAGGCATCGGTCGAGTGCTAGGTAATTAAGGAAAATCAATAGACGAGGCTGTGAAGTTTCATCGACTGAGATGGTTAGGATATGTGTTACGTATGTCTAGCATAGGTATCGCCTTCCTCAACTACGGACAATGTTAGCTGGCATAGGGTCAGGTTGGAAAGGGACCAGTTGTGGTCAAACTAAAACATGGCCTCATGAATCAATGAAATCCACAATAGTTAGTTTAAGCCAGCCACGTAGGATGACGTAGACTTCCTGGTTGGGGGTCCTCGGAGTTGTAAAAACCAATGGGTGGAGACAATCAGTTGTGTGACTCCAAATCGTTCTCAGTGATGGCTGGCGCAGATGCATCCACTCCTTGTGACTTATGATTTCCAATGAAACTGTATTGTTCTTCGATATCATTATTCATTTTGTCTCATATATCTGTCTACTGTCTCTATTATTCATTTCTTCTACTTTCTTCTCTGGCTTTGTGTGCTGAGTGAAGTGTTGCGACTCGAACTGTTGCATATCAGTGCAAAGTTCTATGGTGAAACCAGCCAGTCAGTTGGCCTTGGGTTGTCAGACCCATAATTGATTCGTCGTAAATTGTAAAAAATATCTTTTGCGATACGAATAAAGAACAAGCAGCAGAAAATGTTAATAAAGTAGGGCTTAGTGAATTCATCAAATTTTGGAAGTACTATTCAGCTGAGTCAGCTGTGGATGTTTCAACACTCTGGAAAAGACTGGCTGCCAATCCTAGACACTTCCAACTGCATTTATTAATATGAGTGTATGTTTATTGAAGCGCACAAATACTATAGGTCGTACGGAAGGGCATTTATTTTCCGTTCGGTGATGCAGCATTTGCAGAAGCGGTGGAGTAAAAGCATCTTGTAGGCTACACGGACATAATACTGGGTTGGAGTTGTCAATTCTTTCACTGTTGTCAGCTGACAAACAAAGGTGGAAGATCCTCCCTATACAGAGTCTCGTGCAATTACAGTTTACTAACCTGGTCTTTATGTACAGCAGGAAATGGGGATGGATTTGAACCTATTATTTTGTTGACCAACGCAAAGAAAGGGACTGTACAAATTTCTTCTGAACACACAGATTTGGCTTATTCATCAAATGTATTCCGATTGCCTGCTGTATGTAAAAGTCGTGCTTGTAGACCATGTAGAGTGAAATACGACAAATAACTTTTAAAGGTTTGTTAGAGTCGACTTGGTGTTCAGGATCTATGAGATTAGTTAGTATTGAGTTGAGTATACCAGCTATAGTCAGACTTTTGCCAAACTAAGATGGGGAGTGTTCAGAAATTCAACGATGAACTTGCTTGATCGTATATCCAAAGTAAATAGCTCCTCATGGGCAGTTAAACTGGTAAATACACATGGAAGAGTCGAAACAGGGCAGTCTGTTTTTATTTCTTGAACTGAGTATTGATTGGCTAGTGAATCTCAGACTTTGTGATAAGATCTCACTATTGACATCACCCGTGAATTGTAATCTTAGGAAGACTAATTTTTCGGGAACAGCCGGCACCTTCGACTTTCTGAGTTCATGTGTTTGTTCACGAATTTCATCGGATATCTGTTTCTACTTAGTAGATCATGAATATTGCTGAGTTCTTCGTTCAGTGCCTCATTTGAGCAGATAACTCTCGTCCAGTGAACCAAACATTTAAATTGTATCAGTACGAAGCTCAGAAAGTAAGTATATTGTCCAGTTGAAGTAGGTTCTGTGTGTTCGCTCAGTCATTAGGACGTCTCGGAAGGAGATAGAGTCATTTTCTTCCTCTTCTTTAGTGAAGCTTATGCCAGGATGTGCTTTATTAAATTTCTCCAATATGTCCCTAGTCTCACTTTCTTTCTTTACAACTGTAAATATATCATCGACATATCGGCAATAGAAATCAAGATTATATGCTACATCTCTAAGTGGAGCCTTCTGTAGTTTCTCCAGGGAAAAATCCGCCATGATTTGACCTAGTGGTGATCCCATATCAACACCATCTGACTATCGTCTATACATTTCTTTGACGATATTAGATGGTTGGAGGCAATCGGCCACAGGAAACCTTGCTTGACCTAGGTTTCGTGCTAGTTGGCACTCACTAGTCAGCAAGGCGTATATGCAACCTTGAAGGAACGCATGTTCAGCCCCTCTGAGATTCGAATCCGCGTCCTCCAGTGCTACAGTCAGAGACGTGCACTGTGATAGCGAACTGCCTAGAGTAGTGGCCACGTTGCAAACCTAATTGATAGAATTTAGTCTGCACCAAGAAAAGGATTAGACATACACATCACACTAGTTACCAGTGTCCAATCATAAGCTTATGGTGTAAATATCTCAGCTGATATATTTCCTACTGTGATGTTATTTGTGTAGGCATTACAACGTGCTAAAGTTAAACAATGGCTTTCTTGGAGTATTCGACTATTACCCGACACCTCCGCTAACAATGAGGATAAAATCGATTCAAAGAAGGCGCATGTTTATAGAAAAACTGTTGAAAACTGTCTGGCAAATGATCGTCTACTCTTTTTAACGGGAACAAATCAGCCTACTATTGCAGATATAGCAGTTGGCTATACGCTTACACAGTATAAAGATTATTCTCATTGGATTTCTTCCGGTGCCAGCAAGTCTACAATTGAATGGTTAAATAGACTGAAGAGTTATTTCAATGCCTCGAAAGAAGTAAGTTGCATAAAATATGGATTTCAGTTTCTAGAAAAAACGAAACAAATTGAGCAAAGAATATCCTTTTCGATAATTTCCTCCTCTTCTGGCTCTGCAATTATATATGCATGTTTATATACATAGAATACTCTAGATTAGTAGTCAATAACAATATTAGCGTTTTTTAAATAATATTGATTTGTAAAGTAAGATCGAAAACTACTCAAGTACTACGGCGTACCCCAAATATTCATCAACCTTATTCAACGGCTGTACGACAACGGAACATGTCAAGTGATCCGCAACGGAAAACTCAGCGAGGCGTTTCGAGTAAACACAGGAGTCAGACAAGGGTGCTTATTATCTATCACCAATGATATTCCTAATTGTGGTGGACTGGATTATGCGTCAGACAGTGAGTGGGAAACGAGAAGACAGGGATATCCTGGACCGACGTGAAGAACCTAGAAGACCTGGATTTCGCGCGTGGATGATTTATGTTTGATGTCACTGTCACAAAATCGAAGACTTACAAGCGAAAACCGACAAATTGGTCGAAGAAGCGGCCGCGAAGACAGGACTCCGGGTGAACATAGAGAAGACGGAGTTTATGAAAATAACCAACCAACAACAACAGAAACATCCAGCGCCAATCACCATTAACGGGAGGGATTTGAAAGAGGTTACTTCATTCAGTTGTCATCTAGGGAGCATTGTCTCAACTACAGGAGGAGGAACGGACGAGGATGTCAAATCGAGCAAGAATCGGGAAGGCGAGAAACACATTCACTCATCAAACTGAAACCAGTCTAATCTGGAAATCTTCGTCACTCAGCCAGCATCAACAACAAAATTCTGTTGGATTTTCAATACAAACGTCAAGTCAGCCAGCTGTTCTATATTGATCAGAAACTTGGCGTGTCACAAAGAATATTTCCAACAGCCTGTTGCAAACCAAACCTTTATCAACAACTTTCAACTATCGCTCTATACCGAAGATCAGATGGCCGGGCCGGAAAGAATCACCACCAACAAGAGACTATGGGAACAAATAAAACAAGAACCAATCGTCAACCAACAAATATGCAGTAGGAAGTGGGGATGGATGGATTGGACACTCGCTGAGGAGGCCGCTGGGTGACATCGCGCGCGCGTCAGGCCATTGCTCGAGTGGAAGCTGAAAGGGAAGCGGTGAGTGGGGCGTCAGAGCAAGGGTGACATGGAGGAGATCGTGTGAAGAGGAGTTGAAACAGTATGTATGGACTAAGATGGATGCGGGTGAAAAGTACAGGAGAAGACAGAAGCAAGTGGAGATGTGCAGTTGAAGCCTTATGTTCCACTAGGAACCCAAGAGAACAATAATAATATTAAGTAAGATCAGTCGAATTACAGTTCATTGAAGACGCATAAATTATGATAATTGGGTGCCGACAGTTCCTAGGAAGGCCTTATCTTCTTACGAATTCAGTTCCTCGGGGATAACATCAGCGAAATATACTACTAACACAACGCTTTAGAAATGCGGTAAATAGAGCATTCCCTGCTGCTGCATTACGCTTTGTCGTCAAAACCACTCCTCTTTTGCTCTCGGGAGTGAAAGGTGAGCTGTCTAATTTCGCCTCTTGCATGTGTATCTGCCAAAATTTTAACTGCTCTTGTGGGGTGAGCCGAACAATTAGGCGTGTTTCTCGTCGGATTTCCGAACATCACTCTGCATTGTGGTTAAGTAAAGGACAAATAAAACCCATTCACAGCACTATTCTATCTCATCTTGTGGATATTGAATACAAGATTGATGTCAACGAGATGGCTTTCACAGTCATTTACCGCATGCCAATAAATTTTTAATTCGCCTTAAGAGTTCGCGTACTAAATATTGCTGAGGCTGTTGGGATCCACAATAAGAAGCCTAATTTATGTGTCCAAAAGAAGCTAGTTCACACATTGTCCTTACCTTGGCCATCTAGGTTCTAATGATCCTCAATTTTGTAGAAATTTTGCTTAATTTTAGTTGATATTCTATTTACTAATATATTTGTATGCTTATTATAATTTAGCATCTTTAATGAACTGTAATTCCGTTGTGTTCTTACTTAACAAATCGATATTGTTTAAAAAAAACACTAATATTTTTATTGACTACTAATCAAGAATATTCTATGTATATAAACATATACATATGTATAATTGTAGAACCAGAAGAGGAAATTATCGAAAAGAATATTCTTTGCTCAATCATTTTGTTTTTATAATATGGTTTCTCCATCTTTGAGATATTATACACATCATTATCAGAGCTTTACGCTGCTGCCCCACCTCGCTTCGCAAGATAAGCGTCCACCCAGCACTAATTTAGCGTTGCTAACTACGCAGTTTCACTAGACATCAGCAATGACTCAGACATGTGGAGCTCGTCTCTGTAGGGGTACTCGACTTTCAGCTAATTAGTCCTGACTTTAAATCGTAGACCATAGCCTCCTGGTACAGTATAAACCTTATCCAAGCAACTGAATTCAATATCGCAGAAAATACCCATCAAGACATTGACGAGAGCAAAAAGAACAAAAAGTTTAGCAAACAGAACTATCTTTCCGGTGATTTCATTCTAAAAAGCAGCTGTACAATCGGAAACGCCATAATTGAACGCCTTATCAACACAACTGACTCATCGTTCGAAATTAATTGACAAAGTAAACAAAAAAAATGTACCAAAGACACTGTGTTTCCGACTTCTTTGTATACTGCAGAACAGACGCTGTCGCCAAATGCATCGAAAAGCTGAAGCTCTATGTGTTCAAAAGAGAAACTAACCAGTCTAACCTTTACATTTACCATAGCTCATAATCCTGTGTAATTTTGTTTCTAAGACCCTTGTAATCTATATTCACACCTTCGGACTCATAACAAGTTGAAAATAACTATCACCGTTAATCTTTTCCGCCATTATGTGGAATTGTACGTCGGTGGTTCAGTGGTACAGCTTTGGCCAACCACGCACCTAGTCCGAGGTCGATCGCTGGCCGATGCGCTCCTAAACCTCACTAAGCCGGTAAACAGGGAAGGTTTGGTGTGGGGCTAGCAACGCCACCGACCTCGTAAAAATTAAACACCTCTAATACTAGCCAAACTTTAAAGCTCTGGCTTCGAGCCCTATGCTCCACTTTATGTGAACTTATGTATTAAAATGTGATTGTAGAGCTTTCTGTGATGAAATCATCGAAAAGATAGATCTGTTTGGTGAGTTTCCTATTCTTTTCTCGTTAATGTTGATAAATCTGGCGATGGGAAATGTCAACTTCACAGTAGAATTGTCTGCTGGACAGTTTTATTATTTTTTTCTTATATAAAAGATTATTTAACCTATTGGATTGAGGGCTTTCAACTTACAACCAACTGGATCATGCGTTAGAACTTCACTCTACGTGTGAAAGTTTGTTTGACCAAGCCAAGCTACATGGGAATTTAGGTAGTTGTACATTTTGATTAGCCTGCTACCGATCAGTTCTAACACTGACAGAAGATAGGAGGAGTGGTAACGGACTATTTTATTGAGGAAAACCGCATGATATTTATACATTTTTTTAACTATAACAAAAGTCGGTTAGGTTAGCAGACAATATAAACTGTACTGATTGGTTGTCGACCGGCACGGGGTTAAACCAAGGGGGACAACGTAAACTAAATCAGGATTTCAGGAATAAACACTGCTACCCCCCCTTACACACACACACACACAATCATAGACTTAAAAGGTTGATTCCCATCCCCCACCGGTCCGTCTGTATCAGTATAAAACATGCCACACTGTCTGTTCACAATGATGACACCAAGCGGTTATTTTTTTCTTGTTTTAAAACACAAAGACAAAATGCTAAACACATTTCTGAGTACACCAACACATTGAAGGGTGTTCTAAGTGTATTTACAACCTCAGAGGTATTTTTCAAACTCATAAGGTAGTATAACAGTCCATTGCATCAAACATTTTGGGATTGTTTTCCTTACTAACTGACTGTAGTATATTCACGATATCACTTCTAAATGAGAAGCAGTCGTTCAACTCTATCATTTTATCAGTGATAAAGTTGTATAAAAACTTGTGATTCATGAGTTCGCCTCGAAAATACCATCCACCACAGAGTGGAAACTTGGAAACTGAGTTACTGTGTAAATCTATATCACTTTGCTTATTTAAGTAGATTACACAGTGTTGGAATATTCTTTGGTGTAGTGTGAACATAGAAGTTTCTGGCATTCGTGTTTTTCAAACGTAAAATGATGCACAATCGGTTTGAACCGATTACTGACCTGAAGGTAAGGAGTGGAATGGTTAAGCGTGTTGACCACTTACTTTACTTACTCGGAAAATTGTATCAGTCCTAATGGGCTGGTTGGTGGTCGAATTTCAGCTTAGGTGGTTAGGTAGGTAGGTACAAAAGATTCATCCAGATTTTGTCAACTCCCTCCATCTTTGGTAGCTATGAGATATGACCATCGAAAGTGAAAGACCTGAAGAGGCTGGAGCTCTCTTCAACCACAGATGTTCGCTTTCATTCTCTCATGTTATGAGGTAGCTATAGCACAGTCGGTAATGAGGTTAGGCGTACTGATCGCGAAGCTACCACACATCAGTAGAGATAGCTAGGACACGACATGTGTGGACATGCATGCGGAGAGACGCCTACACCTTCCTTGTTTAACACTGTTAGCTTACATGGGGGATTGAGTTGGAAAGGGGGTGGGTGGCCGAGTCGAAACCTGACATCATCAATCCATGAGGTCGCTCCCGAACTCACTCAACTGTGGTACGTACACAAGTTTATTTTAATTGTAATACAACCACACAAAAATTAATTTTATTTACATTATTATTTTTTTCGATATCTTATTTTAGATGACATCACTTTTCCAATAAAAACTGAAAGCACTATCGTGTACATCCGCTGACCCGCTGTGTAGGAAAAACAGTATTGACAAGGATTGGTGATCTGTATCTATTATTATTATTATTGTCGTTGTTGTAGTAAACACAATTTGGAATTTTTCGCAAAATATTTTTTCTATTTATTTATTTGGTAATGTGAATTTCTTTTTCTTTGGTTCAGCTAAAAACTGTGAGTCTAATTCAAAATCATAAGTTAGCTTAGGTGTTGTATCACAGTGTTCCCCGTCGGGTGGATCATATTCCCCTGTGGACTCAATCAATTCCCTGTGCAGTTTAGGCGCACCAATATACGGACCAGTTAGTGTTAGATTCATAGCCAATCCTTTTTCTCCTTTTTGTGAACCAGTGGATTCTCCCACTGTTAATAATTCAGCATAAGGTTGAATAGCTTCTTTGTACAAGTTGGGGGATGTTTCATACAAACACTTTAGAGCTTTTTGTTGAGCTGCCAATACTGATCTATACAGTCGATTCTCCCGGTGTGTCACTTCTCTTTGATAACGTGTCCAACACTTCCAAATTCCTATTCGTTGATCTACTTCATTTTCACTGACGTCTATCGGTGACCGTTGACGAGATCTATATGGGTAGAATAACAAAAAAGTAACTTGGATATTCTCATTATCACAATTTATAAAAAGACGATTTAAGCAAGCAAATACGTAGTTGAAGTAAATTCTCATCAGGCTTTACCGTCGCATATCTATTTATTATTTCCTTTAATTCCTAGAGGGACATAGGGCTTCAGCCACGCGTCTCCATTGCGTTCGGTTCTCTGCCAACGTTTTCACCTGGCTCCACACCTGCCCACACGCTTTCATCTCCCCTTCACATGACCTCCTCCAAGTCACCCTCACATTGACGACCAACTCGCCACTTCCCTTTCGGGTTCCACTCGAGTGATGGCTTGTCTAGTGATGTCACTTGATGGTTTCCTCCAATCCATCTCCATTTCTTCCTGCATATTTGTTGCACAATATTTTCTTGGTTAACTCATTGCCAGAGATCCCTGTTACTGATCTTTTCCGGCCGGCCATCTGATCTTAAGTATTAAGCGAAGACAACTGTTAATGAAGGTCTGTAGTTTGTTGGAGGTGCTCTTCATAACGCGCTGGCCACGCCCCTGATCACATTGGAGTTGAAAATCCGATGTTATTTTTGATGCTGAATGCCTTTGACCTCCACACAGACTTCAGAGTAATGAAAGCTTTTCTTGCTTTCTCGATCCTCACTGCTTTGATAACCTCGTCAGTTCCGCCTGTAGTTGAAACGATGCTTCCCAGATAGGTAGGTAAAGGAGGCTGTTTCTTTCAGATCTCTCCGATTTATGCTTATTGTTGTTGGTCAGGAATCTTAATCACTTCTGTTTTCTCTACGTTCACCTGAAGTCCTATCTTTGATTCTTGTTGATTCCGTCAACTTGTTGCTTTTCACTTGCATATCTTCCAGTTTGTGGGAAATCAGACATATATCACATCGGCGAAATCCAGATCCTCCAAGTTTTTTGTGTGGGTTCATTTTATGCCTCTTCCCTCATTGCAAGCAAATAGTTATATGTATTATCGGTCAGCAAGATTATATCCACAGATTCAGTGTTTGAAAGGCAAATAATAACCCTACTTTCCGAAAGTTCTCGGCAAGAAATTCCACAGAAACAAGAGTTTTATGTAACTAGGTATATGTTACGTAGTAATCGAAAAGTGCGTCAAGCTTTTCCATAATAATAATTCTAGTCGTTTTACCCCCTCCCCCTATGTAACTCGAGATTTGTCGCTGGTGAGTCATGTTGGACGTTTTGGAGAAAGAAGGACCTCGGTATATTATTTTATTCTTATGCTGTTTTTTTGTTTAAATGGTGTTCTGTAAAACAGAAACTAACTGACAATCTGTGCACTATGTGTGTGGACTTCAGATGGAAAGCACTTATTGCTCAGATTTCATTATAATGGCGGCCTGCTTAAATCACTGGGGTTACTAGAATTTCTATCCATCGAAATGCCGCTTAAACCTTTCTGTATTTCTTATTGTCTTACTCATGAAACTATATCAGATGATTATAAATTATATACATTAATCCTAGCGTGTTTAAGAAAATCAAAACAGAAAGCCGACACATTCCAACAAGTATTTGAATTTCCAATCAGATCATCCAATAGGAATGCAAGTTTCAGTAACTTTAAATCTCGTTATAACAGAGCTAGAAACATTATAACAGATAATAACGATATGGAGAACGAGATAACCAATATAAAATAGTTTTTGATTAGAAATGGTTATCCTGAAAAGCTACTAGATAATATTATCAATAAAAAGGAGCATACGAGAAAACCAAAAATTGAAAAATCTTGGTTATCGACGATAGCCATTCTACATCGAAAGGACAGAGCTGAACAACTTCAAAGACTATTCGCTTTATATAATATTAAAGTCTATTCCAAGCCCTCTAATTCTCTGGAGAGAGCTTTGATGAATGTCAAGGATATGATTCCCAAAAATGTCACAAAATAATTGTGTCTACAGGATAAAGTGTTCAGAATGTGAAGCATGCTATGTAGGGGACAGCAGTAGACAGGTGAAGGTCAGAGTGAATGAACACAGACTATGCACAAAACGTTCACCTAGAAATGAAGTAGAATTAAAGTCTAGGAAAAGGATCGGCTATAGCTATACATTTAATTACTGGTTCATATCAATTTCGTACGTTATTAATAGGTATTAGGTGACCATAAACGTTTGACCTGTTATTACCGAGCTACTTTTACTCCGTGCCACACTGTCATCATCAGCCTCAACTCCACATAGCACTAAATAGGACATTCATAAGTTGAAAAAAGACACAAAAACGCTGTAGTATGTTTCAATTGACATTGCTGATTTGGATAGTAACCAAATCTGTTAGTTAAGTCGTTGTGTTGTGATGCACACACAGCTACTAACGCAACTACCACATCAGTTGTTGATCACTTTTCTGCTATGTGTGTGTCAATGAATCCCACGAAAGATGTGGGAGTCAAGGTGAGATGATCTACTGTGCGATGATTTCCATCTTTATAGTTTGTGCATCACTGTCGTATTTGTGCATTGTGCTCAATATTTGTAAGTTTTCTCAACCCCTGCCTCCCTGCTTTTTTATATTTACGACATTTGTTGTGACTGGCTGCTGCTTTTACATCTTCGATCGATTCTTGTATCAGAGCTATTCAGTCATTCGACGTGACCTGCTGCTAATTTCACTTATTTGTACAAACTACTATGTTATTTGCAATGCTGCGAAAAATGAGCTGTATTCATAACACCAAGGTCCTTTGCCGGGAATCTTGTTGCCGCTACTCATAAATTACACAGGATCAAGACCAGATGCACTTGGCTGAAATTAACGATAACTCTTAAACGAAGAGTTAAGTTGTTTACTCTGAAAAATCCACCTTGAACGCGGCTAGTTTAGCATCTCAAAGATTCCGAATTGGCGCTTACCACTTCGTTTTACAATAGACAATTTGGAACCTCATTCATCTTTCCCATCCATCAGTGTATCTAACTCACATTATTCACATAAGTTAACTCTTAGTGTAGTAGGAGAGAGAAAATTAACCTGAAAAAGTATTCGTCGTTTTCTTAACTGACAACTTTCTGTAAAATCACTTTTTTGATAGAAATGCTGATTGTTTGAAGACTATCCGTAGTGAATTTTCCGACGAAATTTTTTCGTTTGCTATTACTAACACAAAAAAAATCTCCACGGACTTGTCATAACTGATGAATAAAATCGCTGACTAATTCTAAAATATCGAAGTGCTACATCCAGAGGTTAAGCTAGGTCCTGGCATGTGCCACTGACAATGTGTATAGGTAGTATGTAGGTACAAAATATGTATTCACCAACCAGGGTTCGAACCCAGGACTTCCTGGTTAAAACACGAGTCACTGGGACCAGATTCAATGGCCAGTCCATGAACTAGAACTTCTGCCAATTCATGAAATAGCGCGACTGGCACTGGCCAATGTCTTCAGCGAGTATTTGTTCTCACACCCGACCTTTTGCGCCCTACTGGTAAAGAATTCCCACTAGAATCCCAGGTAACTACCCACCTGAATACGGCCAGTTGCTAGCCAGCATCTCATTGATATTCAAGTATTGGTTTGTAGGGATCTGATTAATTGGCTACAGGATTTCATCATGAGCTGACTGACATTGGTTAGAGAACCATTGGAAAACCGCCTGAAAGTACTGGACAGTCGTTTCGTCAGCACAGTTTGAAACTTTTCATCAGTACCCACCCACCAGGGTTCGAACTCAGGACTTTCTGGATACAAGATGAGCTCGTAGACCATTAAGTCACTGGGACCCGATCCAGTGACCCATGAGACAGATGTCCAGGACTCCCAAGTTTTCCAATGGCTCTCTCTAACCAATGTAATCTCATGATAAAATCCTGTAACCAGTCAATCAAATTCCTACAAACCACTACGTGAATATAAATATGCATGTTCATCTGCAAGAATATCGAACAGCTGAGAGATGGATCTGTCTGTCTGTCTGTTTTCGACATAGAACTTTGCACAAATGTGTGGAAGTTCAAGTCGCCACATTCCGTGTAGCACGCGAAGCGAGAGAATAAAGTACAAGAAAAGCATAATAGAAACAGTGAGCAGAGGTGTGAGACAAAGGAGTAATAAAGAAATACAAAACAGTTTCATTGGAGATCATAATTCACAAGGAGTGGATGCATCTGCCCTGGCCACTGAGAACGATTTTGAGCCATGTCACCAATTGTTTCCAACCATTAGTTTTTACCGTCACGAGGACCCCAACCAGTCAGTCAGGAAGTCTACACCTTTCTACGTGGCTTAGACCAACTGTTGTGGATTTCATTGACTGGTGAGGCCAAGTTTTTGTTTGACCGCCGCTAGCTTTTTTCTAGCCTGACCCTATATCCGCTAACATTGCTCGTCGTGGGAGGCGATGGCTTGGCATACGTAACACATGTCCTAACCATCTCAGTCTTTGTAGCTTCACGACTTCGTCGATTGATTTCCCCTGTTTACCTAGAACTCTATGCCTAACCTCCATGTTGCTCACCTTATTATGCCACTTTACACGGGAAATAGAGCGCAGGCACCTATGATCAAAGACGGCTAGTCTTTTCATGTCTTCCACTCTCAGTGGCCAGGTCTCACAACCATAAAGGAGGACGGAGCGGACTAATGAGCAGTACACCCGCCCTTTGGTCGATAGTCGAACATCTCGTCTACGCCAGAGTCGGTGTAAACTGGAAAATGCGAAACGAGCCCCTTGTATTCGTGCTGAGATTTCGTCAGAGACCAGCCCGTTGGGGCTGATGGTACTTCCCAAATAAGTGAAGCGGTCAACGTGCTCTACCACTTCACTTCCTATTTTTAAACTAGGCGGCGATGTAGTCCAGTCCTGTAACATCATCTTGCATTTGGCGGGAGCGAATCGCATGCCAAACATTCGTAGATTGCGGCTCAAGGTGTTTAGAAGACTCTGCATTTCGTCAGCGTCTTCGCCTAAAAGGACTATATCGTCTGCATATTCCAAGTCAACGAGATTATTCCCCGGTAGCAAGTCAATTCCTGAGTCGCTGAAGTCACCTAGAGTTAAGTCCATTTGAGAGATGGATGGATTTAATGGCGAAGGGGAGAAATGCGAACGATGTTTGTGAAACATAACAAGGGAAACATGAAAGAAAGACAAAGAAGCACGATACCGAAGGTATGTGCAAATTGTGATTCTGACATGTGGTTGACGTATTTAGCCTATATCTGTATATATCCAGTTGCCAATAAATAATTCACTTGCTAAATATTTCTTGAGTTCTGCCGTTACATCGTAAAACTATAAATCTGTGATTCTCAGATAATCAGTGCTACCTAGGAATTCGAAATCATGTTTTTTGTTGGTGAAATCAGACCTTCTTATTTTATTTTATTATAGCTTGATTCTACACAGTATTTCGGTATAAGTATGGAGTTTGCAGCATGTGATATTGGTAGGCCAAATTTAGCAGGCCGAACCCCGGACCATTTGCATGGTCGGCGAGCGTCCTAACCCCTGTACAACCGACGCACAAAGCCGCCACCCGACGGGGGAGGGGGCTCAAATCCCCGAGCCTCAGATTAAAAGTCCGATGCGCTCTACCGACTGAGCTGACCTGGCTATCATGTTACTGAAGTCGAAAACAGCCTAATAATATTTTCCAAATATTATGGTTGATGGATATAAAGTGTGAAGTGTACACTGAAAAAGTGTACGTCTACCAACTAGGCAACTTACTTTAATTCCTTCATCAATTGACGATCACCTTCTATTTCTTCAATAGGCTTTAATCTTCTGTCGAAACGACTAAGACGTTTAATCTCTTTTTCAATTTTTCTGATTTTTCTACCTATTCGTTGTTGTTCAACAGCAGGATCCACTCTCTTCTTTTTCTTTAAAGGTTCTGCCCTAAACAGGTATACATTTATACGATCAGTTTTCATGTTTAAGATTTACATAACATTCGGTGTTGTATGCAGTCCTGCTGTCACACGACTGAAAATTCCTGGTTGAACATAGAAACCTTGCATAAACAAACTATAGGTTATTAAACTATCGAAAAGTGTATTGCACGTTTTACCTTGTGAGCTTTTTAAACATAATTTTGTATTCCGGAGTGAACAGACTTGATGAGAAGGTTGAATAGTCAGTAGATATCTGAAGAGTTTAAAATATGAATACATTATCAATAGTAATGATGATAATAATTATTTTATTCATTTAAACGCGGAAAAAAACTTGGTGCAATATGGCACCAAGAAAGATAATAAAACAACATAGATTAAAAGTAAAAATATTAGTAGAGAACGGATAAAGAACATCTGGAAGGAAAAGAGTCATGCTTAACAAGTTCAAACAGTATTCGTGAACTAGCATCGTAAAGGGAGGAAATAAGAAATTTGCTAAACGTTCGCCACTGATTACGATTCTTGGCCATATCCTATAACGTTTCGAGCTACCTCGTGGACCCTAACCAGGGAGTCATCACGCACCAACCGATGCTAATCTTGCACAAACATCCTTCATCCCACGACGCCACGTCATGGACTGACCACCTCTTCGCCTTTTCCATCCCGTTCCAGGACTGGCCAGCGAACAGAGACCTGTACGGAAGCCTCTGGGATGACATGTCCAAGCCACTGGAGCCGGTGTTTCCAGACGACGATACTCAATGAATGGTGATCTTCACTGTGTTCAAACACACACTGCCGAACCTCAGAACTACTCTCACGATGATGCAGTCGGACGCAAGAAATCCTACGGAGACAGCGATGATCAAACACGCAGAGTCGCCACACATCCACAGTTTGGAGACTTCCGGTTTCACAGGCGTAGAGCAAGACAGCCCGCAACGAAGCATTGTATACCCGACCTTTGACAGCCAGGCCAACGTCGCGATGGCGCCACAGTTGGCTGAAGTTGATGTATGCCACCCTAGCCTTCATTATACTGTTGGAAATCTCACCCGTCACCCTTCCGCGAGCACTGACACAACTTAATAGATACACAAACTTATCAACAACTTCAAACGGTTCACCCGCAAGAGTGAGTGCAGGTACAGGCACCTGCCAATCTTGTAACAGTACTTTGCACTTAGAGGGCGCAAAGTACATACCACACAGACACTGATCGCCAAATAATAATAATAACTCGTCTTATTCCAAAACAGCACTTATAACACAGCATGGGATTTTCAGCATTGAGTACAATATTACATCTAATTTACTGAACAATAATAAAAAAGACATTAGCTGGTAAAGGTAGCCGAAAGTGATAATAGCAAAATTTGGTATTAGCAGTAAAATACAGTCAGAAATGTACAGAATGATACTAATAATAACTGAAATTATAAGATAATAGAGATAGTGTTATCACAAATTATGAATAGGGGAATATAAAAAAGCCATTTCATCTGCTTATTACATGCCTAATACTTTCCTGTCATATAGAACGCGGGTCATAAAAGGGTATCGTTGTGTTTTTGTAGTTGGTTGTGCGAGCGTATAATCTTTTAAGTAATGACTTCTAGTCCTACCTATCTGATGAGATGCATTGGGATAGTTGTAAATAAAGAGGGTGCTGAGAGTCAGACACTACGGCTACAGTAGTAGCAACAAGCTGCCTTGGTGGTACATCACCTACCCCACAGAAAACTGTTAACACCCTTCTCAATATGTAATGGTTCTTCTGAATAGCTCAGGAAAATTACGGGAGAGCAACAGAGAATATGATACAGGAGTAAAAAGACTGTAGAGATTGAGTGATACCTGGTTGTCTTAACTTCTTAATGTAGACAGTTAGACGAACATTTTCTTAGAAAATCAACAAGATATGGGGTGACTAAGAAAGGTCAGAAGGAAGAGCTATTATAAGGTACTTAATACTTAACTTGCTTTCCGACTCAGTGCCTTCTATGCTACAACCATCTTGTGAAATTTAGTCAACTACCAGTCTGTTAGAACTGATGCGACTTCCCAAAGTCAACACATGCAACCATTTTATGGTGTACACATGGATGAATCGCGGGCTAATCGTACTAAGCCTCTTGCTGAAGGTGTTTACAAGACTTCGCATGTTCACCTGAAACAACATGGTCATTCGTGAGTTGAAGACAGACGGGAATTTTGTCTGCTAACAAGTCAAGAGCTGAAGCATTATTCTTAATCAAAGTCGCATATATGGATACATTTATAACGTAACCATTGGTCAGAACTGATACTCTTGAGACAATGAAGCCTATCAAGGCCACATCGAATAGCACATTTATCATGAAGCGCAATATTCACCACCTATAGTTGGTGGAGATGAGCATCCCTAACGAATATTAACGGTTGTTGCTATTCTAGCTGATAACCCCATAGACCTTTGAGTTGGACAAGAGCGCCTTAATTAGCAAAGTATGCTTCACTGCTTGTTATCTTCAGGACGAGTCATGAACCAATCAATTCAGATGAAACTTCAAAACCCCACTAGCACTTACTAACCCCTAGCGGAAAATTATCAACTACCTTTGCTACTGTTTTAACACCAGACTGAACACAGTATCAGACCCCCTCACGATTAATATTGCCGTTACGCATGGATGTGGTTAGATTTCCTACTTGAATACAGGCACATTCTTGCCAAAATGCTGGACATGCCAACAAATCGCAGATCTTGTTTTCTAAGTCCACAGATTAGTGCATGCAGCGCTAGTAGATGCAGTTATTCCAGAAATAAAGACAGTCTTTAACTGACCCTTTATCTATAAATAATATGTTTTATTTGTGTTCATCATGAACATGATTTCTTGCAATACCTTGCAGCTACTGCAAGGTCAACTTTACACTTCAGACTAGTAGATCTGTGGTAGTTAGATTATTGGAATATAGGAATCTGGCTAAGTATAAAATTATTGACCCCACGATGATGAATACTTAAGAGTGTATGTAGCAACACAGTCACAAAATACGATGAATCAGAGTTACGATTTTAAAAAGTAATATAGGGAGGAGGGAGAGTTTGGTCACAAAATCGTTGTCGAATGAATGAACACTTAACATGTGCAATAGGAATGGCGCAACGACTATACCACTGATATGGAAAATACGTTTACCAATAAAATCAGGGGATAAGAAATGTCACGATATAAACGAAGTGTGTAAGTAATGTGAGTGACTTGATATGATTATAACCAATAAACTGTGCTCCACACGTTATCAGTGCATAATAATAATAATAATCTAATTTATTCCAAAAACAGTACTTATAATACATAATGGAATTCTCAGCATAACTCAATAACTGATCAGTTATTATTACTGTACAACAATGTGTGATTTATCAAGATAAAATCTTATCCATAATGGAGTTATACTCTATCACAGTGCCCAAGTTTTATGCTTATATGAATTCTCAGCATAACACTATCACCGCGCTTTCATCAAATAAAATTCTTCAATGAAAATTATACTCTACTACATGCCAAATTTCTATTCTTGCATCAATTAAAAAGGCTATTTGAAGATTTTGATGCTGTGATAAATTAGGTCGGCATTAAAACTATTACGCATTTGGAGGGATCTGTGACTGCACTTTAAAATATCATGATCATCGAGTGAGATTTTCTGAGTGGATAGAACATCAATAATTATGGACATTTGTGGTATTTTCTAAAAATGAATTTCTTCTAAGATGTACAGTGAATGTAGTCACGAATGCTGAAAATTCCATTCTGTATCACAAGTACTGTTTTTGGAATACAGTGAATCATTATCATTATTAATTTTACACAGCCATTGGCAAACGCTTAGAAAAAGTGCGTTGTAAACAATACACAACTTGAGCTATAACAGTCAACTGGTTACAAAACTTTCCGGAAACAATCACAGAGAGATGTAGTGTGATCAAAAAACCATGCCTATTGACTTAGATTTGCTAATCGAGTACCAATAAGACTACGTGATTAATTACTGTGTCAATAATGGATTAATTAGAATCAATAAAACATCAATATGGGAGGAGACATTTACGAAATTTCATATCCCTGGTGAGTGATAAAAGAATAGAATTAGTACTACTATGGTCTTTAGTCATCTTTTAAATAGATTTGCAAATTTTATCACTCCTCAGTCTTAATATTAGCACTGAGCAGTGATCATGTTATTCGCTCACGATTAATGGCAGGAGCGATCACGGTTGTTTTCATAATTTAGCTTCGCCAGTGGTTACCGAAATCTTAAGATAAGTAGAGTTAGGCATATGGAATATCCACAACCGAAATCCGAATCTAAGTTTCCATAGTACAAGAGGTAGTACAACAAAACTCGATAATTTTTATAATGCTGAACCATATTCTATGGATTTCCTCAAATTATTTGCGGTATTCACATACTGAAAATATTACATTATAGGTGTATATAATCATGCTTGACAAAAGAATGTACTCTTTCAAGCAGCGACTGTAGTGTTTTGTAAGACGTTTAAAGCACAAGTTACAGACTTTTGTTTCAGACAAGGTATATCTTACAGCCCATTAAAATCAGTCGATGCAGGAACCCATCACGACGTTGAATATACCGACTTTCGATAATCTCACCTCTTGTAGCGCACCTCTTATACTGTGCGGTGATTTTAAGTGTTCAATGTGGTTCGATGTATGTAAGGTGACTCCATAAGTAACATTCACCCCATTTCCTTGTGTGAAAACTGTCTGTATATCTTATTTTATATCGACTCGATAGCATCTGAAGTCGATGCGATGGGCAATCAATTAGGCGAAGCTTCCCCTCTAAAACATGATTGGTTGTGTATAGGTTGTCCTTAAAAGATGGTTCTTACTAACATGGAGCGCTTGAGTGACTCGTATGCTAGCGCACACTTTCCTCTTTGCTTATCATATCACTGATAGACGCTTGATAGTATAGTTGTTAATCGTTGAATCCTTAGTTGTCGATTCAACAGTGCACACGTGCACCGGAAATCACGCAACGTCTATACCGGATATAATAATAATGTATATTTTCGTATAAACATAGGAATTTACATGAAA